AATACTCGGTTAGTGTTATAACAATATACTCTCGTCAAACATAAACTTAAATACCCGGTTAGTGTTATAACAGTATACTCCCGTCAAACCTAAACTTAAATACCCGGTTAGTGTTGTAACAGTATACTCCCGTCAAACCTAAACTTAAATTCTAGGTTAGTGTTGTAACAGTATACTCCCGTCAAACATAAACTTAGATACCCTTGACTGTATTTCCACATGTGACGATCCGTGTCCGACCGATAGATAAATTTTTCTTCCGTTCAATGTCTCAAGAAAGAAGGCTATCGAAAGTCAAGGAAAAAGCCATTAACCTTTTGATCTAGATTGTTCCAGGAGATATTTACTAACCGGTTATGACACAACAGCAGGTGTTTTGGAACAGCAGTAATTTACTTGGGCAATTAAGTTCCTGACCTCGATTGTATTGTCAGTTGAGACTTGTCAGTTGAGACTTGTCAGTTGAGACTAGTGCTTGTACTGTAGTTGAAACATATCGTTGCTGTAAAGTGACCAAGGTTCGAAAAACAAAATGGCGTCCCGCCGACGTTCCTTTATGGTCTATTGTTTATTATTGTTGTTTGATTAGTATTCCCCGGTGATCTGGTATGTTTGTTTGCGTATATTTCTGTTAGTTGGTGTTTACAGAAGAAGCTAACAAGGGTATAAGTTTTCTTTAAATCAACGAGTATTCCCCTCAGATGTAATTTCCTCTTCCCTTTCTCATAGGTACACCAGAAGAACGAGGTCTGACAAAATGGCGCAGCCAGGATGTAAGCACTTCCAGTAACACGGCTGGCCTGTCGGTGTACGACTTGCCACTGATCCAACCTCTCCTAGATAAGATGTCTTGGCCGAAATACATCCCGATCTGTCCTAGGTTTGATCCATCAGCTTGTTCCTGTCGTTACAGGACCAATAAAGACCACTCACATGGCTACACTCAACGAACAGACCACCAAAAAGGCGACACCATTGGAAAGAACGTCGGATTTGAAAGCGACGACGCACGTCTTTGAAAGCCATGTCCAAAGTAGTCTTACTAGCGTTGAGGGGATCAAACAAGAATATCAAGTTACTAGTATAGGCGAATCTGAATGCAAGAAATGTGTTGAATCGATACAGATTAACAGAGAGAGAGAGGGGGAGGGGGGGGGTGTTAAGGTCATAGCTTGAAGATATTTAATGCGAGAACGTGGTAGTGATCTTCTCCGACACAGACGACACTAGTAACACTGTCCACTATTCATAACACTCTGCTTTTCTAATGTTCATCACTTCCCCTGCCTCTGTTGCTTTCTCCTTGTAAATTCGATTCCTTCTGACTGAAGATCCATACCATAACGTGTGTCCTTACCAAACTTAAAACCCCATCACAAACAATGTTAGACATATCCCAGAGTACAAGAGTTTTGTTGTCGGTTTTATTGTTCTACAGTGTAACGCAATAATATACACAGCTGTTGTTATAACGCCAGTTCACACCTTGTTTTTATTTTTAAATGCGACATGAAAATGTGGTTATCTTTATAACGCGACATCATATCGTGGTTACTTTTATAACGCGTGTCATGATGTGGTTATTTTTATAGAACGACATTATGATGTGGTTAACTTTATAACGCGACATCATACTGCGGTCATACTGCGGTTATATTTTTAATGCGACAACATATTGTGGTTATTTTTATAACGCGATATCAAATTGTGGTTATTTTTATAAAGCGACTTCATTAGGACGGTTCAATAACGTGATTTATCTCCCCCTGGTAGGAATTCTTCAACGTCTACTGTGCGCATGCGTCACGTGTTCGTGAGACTTCCAGGGACTACCATGCTACTAAGTTGACCATGCCGGTGGCACGATCACGTAAATATTGCTGCATATGTAGTAATTATCGTAGAAAAATGTTGACGGTGCTGTTGTAACGTTACACAGATTTCCTTAAAACAATGCTGCGAGACGCATTTGGCTACAAATTTAAAGAGCTCGCCTTGTTCGGAAAGACTTTGTTTATACAGAGCATAGTCGCTTGTGTTCACTACATTTCGTCGGAGGTGGACCCACAACAGAGCACCCTTACCCGTCAGTTTTTCCACAGAAAGTGTTCAAAACATCAGTAAGTACATTATTATCTTGAATCGTGATCTTTTTGAAATTATATTTAATATGTATTAAAGTGTTGAATTTCGGGTCTACACCACATTTATCATTAAGGCTAGTGTACGCACTACATATATATGACTATATTTTCGTATAAAACTATGTAAACTTGTAGCAACACATGATATAACAGAACTATTTTCATCATGACTATTTGAGCATAACACAACTCATGTTACTCAACCGACTCACAGGGTCTCGTTACAAATGTCTGAAATACACATATGCTATACTGATATGGGTCACAACACACATGTGACCCATATCAGTATAGCATATGTGTATTTCAGCCGTTTGCAACGAGACCCTGTGACCGACTGTAGTAGGCTAGTTTCCTTTGGCCCTGATACCAGACATAGACACTTAAAATGGGGGTATTTCTGGATATGTCACGATCTCCAAGTCTGGTGTCATGGCCAGAATCTGGCAGTACCCCCAGACACACAGTTGGTTTTTTTTACAAAGCATAAAGTTGAAAACACTAAATGCTTATTTTTTATATACTAGTTAGTATGTGCCAAAATTAATATTGAAAAAATATTATCTGATTAGATTTTTATGGTAGTGTAGTCTGTAATGTACACTAACAGTACCAGTTTATAAATAACATTTATTATCAATATTAGTTATAATAATTGTCTTAATATTTTTTTCAGAGAGTGGATATTGACAATAGTGCAGTCACCATTAATAATCAGGAAGCTGAAAGTGAGGAATCAAGGCTAGACACTACACATGATTTGGAACCACCAGTCTACACATGTGATCCATATGTATCTTCAGTTTCAACATTACAAACATCTGTTATGTTTCATGACTACTATGGACAAGTGGACGAAGCTTCATTAGCAGATAATTTTCACAAGTCAGTACAAACAACAGAAACAGATTTTATTAAAATGCAAGATGTGGCAGTGCAATGTGGATCAAATAAGGTGAAATATGTTAACTCATATACCCAAACTGAGACAAAACTTACTTACAAAGATCAAGGCACACAAGTAAAATGTCCATTGCTGGTATATGAAGATGTCAGGGGAGATAATCAGAAGATGATGTTTTATACTGGGATACCAGATTCAGATACTTTTGAAGCCCTATTTGATGAACTTAAAGATGATGCTGTGCAGCAAACTGCAAGGAATGGTTCTTCATCTGACCAAGGACGACCAAGGCATTACGCATCATAGATGCATTTTTCATGGTTCTAATGAGACTTCGTCATGGACTTTACCTTGAAGATTTAGCGGACAGATTTGGTATTGCCAAATCAACATGTTCTGTAATCGTAAACAAATGGATAGACTACTTGGATATTAAGCTCTCCTTTTAAGTCAAGTGGCTATCAAGAAAAGCCGTGAATGATAATATGCCTCAAGCTTTTGTAACTAGATATCCAAACTGTAGAGTGATATTAGACTGTACAGGAAAAAGACCGAAACACCAGCATCTTCCCAGCATAAATCTTTAATGTACACTGATTACAAATCGCATATGACATGAAAAGGCTTGATTGGAATAAGTCCTGCAGGATTTGTTACATTTGTATCTAATCTTTGGGCTGGTAGTGTTAGTGACAAAGTAATTACAAAAGAAAGTAATCTATTATGTTTATGTGAAAAAGGTGATGCTCTTATGGTGGACAAAGGCTTCCTAATTTCAGATATGACCACCTCACTTGGTATCCAGCTTATCATTCCCCCTTTTAAGCATGGAAAACGGCAGTTATCAAAACGATAAGTGGATGAAACACGATCCATAGCAAATTTACGTATTCACGTTGAACGGCAAATGGGGCGAATAAAGAACTTTAATACTCTTAGAACCATCATTCCAATAAGTATGACTCAACAAGTTTCAAAGATATGGAAAATATGTGCTCGCCTAACAAACTTTCAGCCTCCATTGTGTACATAGAGTTTAGCCAGTCAAGGAATCTGGAAACATTATTATAATCTGAAGTTAGGGATCTTTTTTAGACTAATCCAGAATCAGATGACATAAACTTATCAAAAGGGATGCATGCACAATATAGTATGGCATCTTTTGGCACTGTATTTCAAACATTTATAAATTGAATTCCTAAGATACTAAAATGAATAATGGCAGATTTTAGGCAATGTAATGTATTTAACAGGAAAGTATTGGTAATTTCCTTGATATATCTTTGCAAATAAAAATTACAATATTTTGTTTAATGAAATACAGTACCATGTAATTTATAAATAGCCCATGTCTGTATATGTCTAGAATGTCTTTTCTAAAATTGGTACTCAAAATTTGAGAATGCATGTACATGTACACAGGACTCCCAATAAATAACTGATTCCGAATCCCAACATTCACTCTGTAGTTTGGATATTATGTGTAAAAATATATTTGAATGATTATTAAAACTTCAGAAATTTGAACAATAATCTTCTGTTATATATACATTTACATCATCAGTATGTTTGAAAAAGACTTTACTCAGTCATATCTAAATCTAGATAACTGAATGGAAACACTATTTACGTAATGTCCATTATTGATAAATTGGAACGCCTCTCAACACACGAGTAGTATACATCTCCAGAATGATTTCTGTCACATAGAAGTATGTAAGTTTCTTGAGCATTTTCTCCCAATAGTCTGGATTAAAGAAGATCATTTCCACTGAAAATGGCTGCTTCAATGTCCACACCACAAAGTCGCACCATTTTCGATTTGTAATGGCAAGTTGACCTTGTACCTGGTGATCATAATGGTGGTTCTGTTTGAGAACCACATTTCCAACTGTGTCTAGTTCACAATAAAAGTTGTTGTCTGTTGCACACTCATATGGTGATCTATGTCTCCATTTATCCGCTGCAGGACACTTAATTTCCAAAAGACCATCACTGTCTTGTGACAAGTCCATCAGGGCTTGCACCGAGATGGGGATATAACTCACTGATTTACTGAGAAACCTTTTATTCCTGTTGCAATACATACGCCTTACTGCTGGTTCGTGATCACGTCCCCATTTTACAAATTTATTGTCAAATCTGGTGCAGTTGTACATTTCCTTGTCACTACTTTTCCGAAATTGGAACTAGTAATAAGCCCACGATGCATTTGTAGCTTGACCTCTAGTTACACTCTCAATTTCAGCACACTGCTCATCAGTAACATTAATCAGTGCAAAATGCTGCTGAAATTGTGACACAATATCCACACTGCGTAAATCAGATTGGTCACTGTACATAAAAGTAACACTGTCTAGTTGGGGTAAAGTAACTTTGTTCCTTTCAGTCGTAAAATTGGTAAGCCAACCGGCTTTAGAGTTCTTCTCCAGAAGTCTCTTCCGGAAGCGATTTTCATCAACAGTAGAATGAAAATCTGATCCTTGGTCCCTGGGGTAGCTTTCCTTACCTCGGAAAATGTCCACTGCCTTCTTGGGGCTCAAACGACGCTTCCTTGGGTTGTTCCATGAACATTTCAATGAGATACATGCCAAAAGTCCATCTTCCTTCTTATCGGTGATGTCCACCAAGGCATACAGCAATGCACCTATGTGGTTGCATGCTTCTCCCAGCCTGTTAAATAGATAGGGTAAACAATCACAATTGCTTACGAGTAGGTTTCTTCAATTTATTCAGTGTTTGTCAAACGGTTTCGCCCCTTTAGCAGACTTCATCAGGACAAATTTACAAAAAGAAATTCTCCCATACATTTCATTAATTTCTTATTTTTTTTTATCAAATTCGTGTATTTAAATAACACATTATATTCTTTCAAGTTATTTATATGACATCAAATATAGGTACACATATCACCTGACCAAATACCAGTTTGGTTTTTATTGACTAGTTTACACTTGTATAGAAATGCATATTATGCTTCAATGGCTTTAGTCTTTACCTCCAGTTCAATATATCTGAACATTTCTCTAAAACTTACACATGTATATTAAAATCTTTAGATACTGACTAATATTTATATGTTCAGATAAAATTGAAACTGATGTGTGTGCATATCAAACCAAGGTTATCAAATTAAAATAATAAATGTTCTCATATTTTACTCACCCTGCTGTGCAATTACAATTTGCAGAAAGAACATTTCCAGAAACTTTAGCCAGGCATGTCCATATAGTGTAGTCTGGGTTTTCTTTTTTGTTTCCAGAAGGAAGTGAAGGGATGACTTTGCATTTTACAAGGCAATGGGTGCATGTATCGTTCACCGGATGTACCTGCACGTCGTGAACATGGCGGTCTTTATAAAATACCTTGCTCTTTAGCTGTCTTTTTGCTTTCCTCGCCAGCACCAAATAATTATATATGTCAGTCTCTGAAAAGTTTGGAATTGAGCTGAGATCGCTGGACCACCCTTTTAACAATGTAGGGTCTGGAATGACTTCACCGAGTGGCATCACAAGTTTTTCCTCTCTCCGTACGCAGTCATAGTTGTAATCTTGTTGCTTTAAACATTCCACGGGTTTCACCTTTAGAATCGCTATTCCTTTCGCACGTTCAAGCAAAACCGCCTTCTTACCACCACCAACTTGTCCATGTTTACTAAGATATTGTTTGAGCTGAGGAACCTTGAACTTTTCTAGCTCTTCATCACACAAATACTCCATCTCTCACGCTCAGGGTTGCCGGCGGCATCCTCTGGAATGCGTCCCTAGAGATGGGTAGTCGCCGGAAGCAGCGTGCGCCCTCTTAAGGGCTATTCACACAATACCAGTAACTCACGTTATTGAACCGTCCTATAGTAACGAGTCATCATGATGTGGTTATTTTTATATCGTGACATCATACCTCTTTAATTTTTCTAACGCGACATCATACCTCGGTAATTTTTCTAACGCGACATCTTACTGCGGTTATTTTTCTAAGGCGAAAGACAAAAGATTTTTTGTTATAGCTCGACATTATAAGTCAGTGTTTTTTCATAAAGTAATACAAAAGCATTCGTCCAGACACTGAATAACTGACGTAAAACGATCGGTGATAAGTAACTGATACCTGCCCCCTGTGTAATGAGCCAAGTAAACAAGGTTGATACCATTACTCATGTTAACATAGTTTTATCCAGTACATATTAAAATGTATTTTTTTCATCATGCTCTTGTGTTGTGATTAGTTTTCTTCCGTTATCCGATGGAACTTGTAGTTTCACAAATCGTTTGTCACGTTAATCAGATGAAACACATACACAACAAATAAAATCCATCATGTCTTGTTAGAAAGTTGCTGATACTGCAAGGAATTGACAAAGTACTGCTCCCACTTTCGAGTAACACGCTGCCTTGCCGAGATCATCTCAATATCCCAGTACATATAGCAGACATATCAGGTACCTGTGTTAACATTTAAATGTACCTGCAACAATGACAGTACAGTGTAAATAACAGATTTACATGAACTATGACAATTAATATCAGCTTTACAGGAACTACATGTATGACATCAAATAACAGATGAACAAGTAACATATTTACAGCTTTCATACACTGCTCCCCCTTTAGCCTTATTGCAGAATACATATGATATGACAATAATATTATGCCTAGCAATAAACCCACTTTTAAGTCTATATTCGGAAATAACGGTACAGCATCTCTTATTTATTCTGCAATAAGGCTAAAGGGGGAGCAGTGTATGAAATCAAAGCTAGTTAGTATAGCTAATATTGCAGGGATATAGATTAAAATATCTAAAAGAAAATCGATTTGGATTTAGAGGAAATTAATTTAAATGATCCAGTAGCAGCGAGGCTAGTTGGTTACTTGTGAGGAAAATAAAATAATGATTATACAATCCAATCAATTTCTTAGTCAGTAAAGTCATCATGTTAGGTGATCATAACTGGCAGTATTCCATGAGGTAAAGATATATAGCTGAAGAACTAAAGTATGGGAGTATGTGGCACAAATGTACATGAATTTTCAAGTCATTGTTTTGTTCCCTATATCTGTAAAGATCTTATGCTTACGGGAATATGTGTGTTGAAGGGAAATAACTCAGACAGGGCTTTCTTAGTATAGCTTGTTTAACAGTGTATATGTGAATTTTTCACGGAACAAATTCCTTAACCTGTTCTCGGAAAAACACACCTTATCAAGACACCCGAGTAAATGCTGGTCAACCTTGACGTACAGGCTGTTGAGGAGTCGGCCACTCGTAAGTAAATCCACCTTAATACCATCCCAATTAGAAATATATCAAGCTTAAATATGTCTTGGTTATTTAATATGATGCTTAAATTTGTTTTTAACTAAAATGTTTACAGATATGCAGATATAGCGAGATAGGTATGCAATGTTGAACATGACCTGTCTCTAACACCTTTAATAAGTGTTAATATCTACAATAAATTATCCTCTGCCATAGAAAGGTTATACCATGGATATTATTGTTATCAAGAAAATCAAGATGTGGATAAAAAAAGGGGTTATTAATGCAGAGAAATGTTAAATTTTACTGGCTTCACCAATATCTGTGGTGCTTCATCCAGGAAGTATATCCAGAACAAATTCAGATCAGCGTAGTATATATATACAAACCAAAAGTGTTTAATAAAAAACAAAGAAAAGGGAGGTTTGATTTGCTAAGGACAAACTACCAATACCTAATCTTATAAACTTGAAAATATATCATGAACAAATATCTCATGAAGTTATTTCATATTATTTTGTTTTTAACCTGTCAGTCAGATGTTAATAACTTTTGTTTGTTTGGCAATAACAAGAATAATAATAAAAGAAAAAACGCTTCCAAATATATGACCGGAAAGTACCAGTAAATAAATCCGATCTGCATTTGATGTAAAAGTGGTTACAAGAAGAAATTACCTCACCACCAATTAGTCTGATAGAAACAGTAATGTATAATTAAAGATATCACTAATATATTGCTTCTCTTTAGGTTTGAACAAAAGACCCATACTTAAATCAAATTACAGCATTAATCGACATTAGACGTGTTTAAACATGTACGTTACATACAAATTCATTTTAGTATTATATGTATATGCAAACCGAAAGTAGAGTAGTAAATTAACACTCTCTGTGTGATTCATCACAATTTATAAACATTATATTACACACAAGCTTTCAACAAGAAGCCACGTATCTGGTAGGTTAGCATTTTTCTCCGGATTTAAAGGGAGAGATAACGTTCGTATAGCCAAATAGCCTTTGCCATGGGTAGCGTGAAAATTGTATAAAAAAAACTGTGATCGATTTTCCGAATAAACTACAGTTGATTGCATCTTGTGCATTTGTCATCTGAAGAAAGTACACGTGAAGCTGTGCATCCAACATTGCATGATTTAATTGATCCTGTGAATTTTGAGGATTAGTCCTTGAAATAGTTTTCTATGTTTACAAATGTGCCTATGTATTGTCTCGGAGATTAATGTTATGTCGCACATGGCAGGCTCATCGGCTCATGTGTGCAGCCCTTTTATCACCCCTGTTCTGCGAATTAGTCCCCGTGATGGAATAGTACGTGCTGTGAATATTTTTCATGCAGATTAATTTAGAACTATTTATATTGTAAGGTTTTAATAGAGGGTATGAACATACAATTCTAGATCTGAAGTTTTAATAAACAGTAATTTTACATATATTTAACAGTACGGATATATAACGTTACACACATAAAGGCCCACCCACGCTAATGTACCATCAGGTAAGCCAAGCTAACCAGTACTACAGCCGTGTTCCAATGTGGGCACCCCCTGCAGAATTGGGGATTTGCTTTTGTGCCCTCTACTTGGGGACACTAAAAGTGATAAAATTAAAGATACACCAATTGAAATAGTCGGGGCCTTTATATTTCCCTCTACTTCTAACTACCATCTATTTATTAGCGCCTTGCTTGATAATGCATCACTTTTGGCTTTCATGTTGAACGTTCGCCAAGTTGAGAAAGGCAATGGGTTCTGTCGCCGGGCCGGGACATACAAAAGTCCTTAAAAATGGTAGTTGTTATTCCCTGCTAAACGTTCAGCATTTGGGGGAAATGACAACAACTGGTTTACCCGTTGTCGGTATAATTTGACCGGGCGGAATGCTGTGTTGGATGCCTTTTTTCAGTGAGATAGCACTATAAAGTCGGCATCAAATTACAAGGAGGCAAATACACCAACATATCCTGTCTCCGGCACACATACACACTCGCACACATACACAACATACATGGAGGAAAGTCCTTAAATGACCCTAGCTGTTGATATGACATTAAACAAAATAAAACCAAACCCTCCTTTCCCTTCTTCTTTCCGTGCAGAATATCATATGTCAATAGCATTCTTGACAATACCATTTCATATTTCACCCCATGTCTTAAGTGTAGCCTTAATGACGTATAACATATCTGACCAGCTAGGCTGACACTACTACATAGCTTGCTTAATTATAAATTATTTCTGTTTGAGCTTTGTTCCTTTCCTTATTAAGAACAGAATAACCTAGATCTCAATGAATCCTAATCAACAAAAAATAGTAAAAAGATATTGACACAAAAGTTGTTGTAATTATTCACCTTTATACTTTCAGATTAAATAAACAATACAGAAAGGTTGTGTATCTTACTGTGTAAGTCTAAGATCATTTTATTTAGGCTTTGCTGGGCCGTGTCAGTAAATAAAATACTAACGATCCTGTTAGTGATAGTTATATAAAGGCTAGAGAATAACAACCAGAGTTTTAAATCAATGTGCAATTTATAGAATGCAAAATACAACATAACATTACACACACTCACAACACAATTACAAATAGAAAGAGCATATATAGTACCAGATAGACTCGTGGCCCTCGACATCTTGTTGTTTGTTTGTGTTATCATGAACCCAATGATGTAGTGGTATGGTGAGCGTACCTAGGTACACAACAGACACCACATACTTATATCAGAAAAAAATGTATCTCTGTTTACGTGTGACCTCTATGAAACCTACATATGTTTTGATAGCGTTACAGCAGTATATGTTACAAAAAATGAAATACTGCTGGTGTTATGTTTTGAGTAAGCTGGAAGTGCCTAGATTTATCACTCAATCCCCAGGGTTTCGTCTCAATGCCATGCGACAAAATTTACAAAAACATAAACCATAATTAACTTTAAAAAAACGACAAGGAAATCATAGTTATTTGTAGACTTACGACATAGGTAAATATTGATCAATCAATGTGTCTTTAATGTTTGTCAGTAAAGATAATTGTTGCATAGCACACAATCTGGAGAGTACTTTTGTCCAAAATAATACTGATTTTATTTAGAAGGAACATGACACATATTGTAAAAGCAACGTCTCTGACGCAAAGATGTAGTTCGAAAAGCAGACGACATGTTTTATGTGGCGGGAATTAATCTATTATGAGCGAGCATAAGAGTGCTGAGATAACGTTTTCTAGTTAAGCATGGATGTTAATTTCCTATTGATGAGTTGGGAGGTGTGTGGGAAAGAGGAGAAGGTAGTGTTACGATCGAGCTAGTTGGTCCCTTCTCCGAAATCCTCTAATAATCTAGCAAAGATTGGACAAATTAACATTTTAAAATATGCATTTCATATAACAGAAACGCATGGCCAATAGAATAGTCGAAACATTCAAATGATTATTCCATACTTTATTTAACGAGTGCCTCTTTATCAACTCTGTGACAAAACACACTGACATCCTTCAAAACATTTCTGATGAAATATTTCCTTTCATTAATATTTGTGAGAGAAAAAAATGAGTATGTGTGTTGAGGGGAAATCCCTTAGGTAGGACTTGATTAGAAAATGTATAGTTTTTTTTTTTTTTTAAAGGGTGTTAAATGATTATCAAATAAACATACACACAGTTAAATACACTAATTGTATTTGTTACTTCTTTTCTGTATACACCTGTATATTTGTGTACACGTATATATCTGTACATCTTTTTATATGGTTTGCTGGCGTTGTGTATTAAACATGTTTGCATGTGTGTATGTTTCACGGAACGGATTATCTTTTTCTCAGAATTATATACCCAGAACTAAAACACGAGGACACCCGTGTAAACACTGGGCGACCTTGTCAGACATCGACGCTGTCGAGAGAGTCAGCCAATTGTAAGTATATTCAAGTCTATATCCTCTCTCATGAACATATCAAGCTTTGATAGACCCGGAGATATGGCTTACTCCTTACCTCTATGTTTTAAGACACGAATTAAATGAATAAACAGGTACATTTTGCAGATAAAGCGCTTTATTTTCATGACATTGAATGTTGATCATGACCTATATCTTACCAATCGATCTTATGAAAATATCTTCATTAATATATCTCATGGTTATGTGATATCATATATATAACATTTATATAATGGGGGAAATTAAAGGTATTGATAGGGGTAAAAATGCAAAACGTTGTCAGACATTACTGACTTAATCAAACTCTGTATCGTTATAACAAGGAAGTATAACAACAAAAAATTCAGATCTGCGTTATTTAGATATACAAACAAAAACGTGTTTAGGAAAACATAGAAAATTTAAACGGTTTTCATTTTGCAAACTACTATTACCTATTGTTTTAAAGGGACATCACGTGAAAAGCCATATTTTTTTTAATGAATGTACGTATTGTATGCACTTCCACTTATGTTACCTCGCTATCCCAATATTCATAGTCCGTTCCAAATGTCCAGTTTGACCACTTGAATTGTTCGGGAAAGCCCTGCTAAAAATAGCGCCGATAACGTCACCTGACTAGGCAGTAAACACGAGCGGTCTGGGCGAGATGAAACGGTTTCCAAAGGGGCCCCCAGAGAGGGGCCGTCAGGCAACTGCAACTTCTTACCGCACTATGAAACCAAGTAATATGATTTCGAAGTCCGTGTTAAAACTTATTGAACAGTAGTTATTCATCATCAGAAGTTAATTGCACACTTGCCAATATTCAGAATTTAAATTTATTTAGCTTTAAACATATTTGTTGCCAATAAAATTGAACAAGGGATGGGGCACACTTTTTTACAATTTATCACAGCCTTCTCTCGTCATACATTTACAATAAATGTCAACAATGATAATATGCATAAACATAAAGTATATATATATAAATATATATTGAATTTAGTACCGGAATGTGACATCTGTACGGGGCTTAACACCTTTCTTCAACCATGGGACAAACCTTTCTGTAAAAGAGACGAATATCCCTTTTAAATGTTTTCATAAAATGCATATATGCAATGACAAACTACACGCGAATAAAAAGTATACCATGCATACACATTTTTGTAAACTCTCTTTCCCCCTTTCACTGTCGCTATACGCTAACACTTAGTAAGTCATATTAGCCATCACACACACTAAACTGCATGGCAAAACCACCACGTGTAACATGTAGAATATGTGTCAGATATGGGACGTGTTGAGACACTTGATAATTAAATTTTTTCAATACTTTTCATAGATTAAAGCATTCTTGTCAATGGACCCTTTTTATGTTGAGTAAAATTTTCTTTAATCATTTCATTTTTGTCCGAAACAGAAGCCGTAGTTATCGGCAGCACGCGTCATTTTTACAACGTAAACAAATGTTTCTTCCCCTGTTTTCAATACGTATTCCGATTCTATCTGAATTCGAAAATTAATTCTTTATAGAGAAAAGGTTGTTACATGATCATACATTCTAAGTCAACAACATATGAAAACATGAACTGTTGAAATATGACGATTTAAAAAAAAATGTTACGCAATCCTATTTACTAGAAGTAGGTTCTTCTTTTTCAGTTACAAAATGTATTCATCCTGGCCCGTCATTTTGACATTTTTAATCTTGCTGCGATAATGTAGCTTTCTGACGACGAGAGATTTTTTTTTTATTTATTGCGTCGTTGCGCCAGAGGAAGCCGGGTATTCATACTAGTACTAATTTAAATCTTGTATGTAAAAACAAACAAAAAACGTTTTAATTCAGCAATATTATTTAATCATACCATTTTACTGAACCCGGTTATATTATAAATTATGTTAATCTAAAAGCGCACGTATCTCATTTGACCCCGATCACGAGTACCGACCGAGACAGAATACGCCGTGGCTATCACAACAGTTAACCCTTGGAGAGCCTCATGACAAAATCAAACTAACGAGTCACTTATCCCTTCCTTTCGCATAAACCAATGTATAGTTACATGTATAGAAACACAAAGTAAACTCTCTCCGATACATGCCCATTGACATATTAAACTAAGTTCATCTGTGTTCAAACTCAGACAAAGATACTAGCGAGGTTATAGTTTTAGATATTTATTCATAACATAAACAGCGCTAGCATTTCTGTCGATTCCATTTCAGCTTAACCGGCTATCCGGAAGAATACATGCACCGTACTAACTGCTAGGGCAGTTATTTTCTCCTTTGAATACTGCCCACCTGTAATAATGATTCCGTAACGTTATCCTTGCGCTATCTTTTGACCATTTGGCAACTTTTCGCTTCGTAGCTGACACGGTACAACACTTTTCTTTGGCTTACTTCACACGGCCAGTCATTTTGTTTACAAATAAATGGTGTGCAATGCGCATGCGCTAGTAGAGGGAAATCCCTGAACAAAACGTTGGTCAGACAGGTAGAAATACCGATGATTATCTTAGATTTAATCATTTTTATGAATCTATTTCAGCCAAATCCGATCGTTATTTTCCATAAGGAGTCTCACTTGATATGTTTATGTAGTATTTGAAAAAAAGACAAAAAAAATAGTTACTTCAGCGTGATGCCCCTTTAAAGTATAATATATAGTGTCACGAGTCGGAATTCCATAAAATTCCTTTACATAAACTTTAATCAAATTACTGCATTGATCGAAATCAGACATGTTTTAACATGCAAGCAACATCATATTCGTTTTGGTATGGTATGTATATTCAAAGCGAAAGTAGAGTACAAAAGTAACTGTATATGTGTGGTTCATCACAAAGTGAACAGATTTTTTTATTTCTTGTAATCATTCAATAAACCATAGTCGTACGCGTGATTTTCATTAAAAACAAAGAAATATTACCCTTTATATACAATACCGCTTAAAGCTGACAGTGCCAGTTAAAATGCTTTCAATTGAATTGTTGTTGTTTTGGGGTTTTTTGGTGGGTTGGGGGTGGTGTAGGGGAGGGGGGCGGTTTGAGATGTTATCCAGTGACTCTCTCTTCCGGCTATCGTTTCTAAGGAGGCAGGAAACGCCGACATTTTAACTTGTCCTTGCTTGGTAACGAGTATCGGGCTCGGTGGGTAAAAAAAGCGCATTTCCTGTAAAAAAAAAACCACCGAAAAACCTAATTTTAAAAAAATGTCTCAAATGAAAGCTTTTTTTACATACACTGTCGGCTTTAAAATATGAAACAATATACCCAACAATTTCATAATACTTGTTTTATAGTAAATCTGAATTGATCTGAATAAGGAAGCGAAGTTGAGTGTTCCAAATTAGCACAGTTAATTAATTTCCTTTTGCATGCTGATAACATACATTTCATATGTTCTTTTGACAACTCACCCTTCCAAACTGAATCTAGATTTGTAATAAAAAAAAAAAAAAAAAAAAATGTTTGGGGTTTTTTTTGGCCTGGGGGGATGGTCCCTTAATTTTACATTTTTCAATCAAATGAATAAAATATTTAAAAAATGCATGTAGATACCCATGTGAAATAAGTAAGTGCTAAAAATATTTATCACGACCAATTTAAAACTCCTTCATATATAGATCACAGTATCAACATACAATAATGGAGTTGTAGCGGAGGCTCCATACGAAACAATGGTACAATGTAACAGAGGATATATTTATAAGTCCGCATAGTCCAGCGGTAAGATCTGATGCAAAGAAATATTCAATATTACTGGCTTCACCAATATCTGTGGTTTTCAACCAGGAAGTACATCCAGAACAAATTCAGATCAGCCTAGTATATATATACAAACCAAACGTGTTTCATGAAAACAAAAACAAAAAGCACGATTTGCTTTGTGCAAATTACCAATGTCTAATTTCTAAAATATATCATAAACAATTCTCATGAAATTATTTCATATTATTTTGATTTTATCTGATTAAAGTTCTCTGATTGTGTGAATCAGCTCTTTGCTGAATAAGTAAAGAAGTCAGCACGTGCACATTTCAGTTTGTCAACATCTTTATAGGCTTACCAGTACATGTATGTGTATCTCCGTGTATCTGTCAGTCGTATGAAAAGAACTTTTTGATTGGTTGAGAAAAAACATAAAAACTTACATAGCATTTCATGTTATGAACAATATTAATGAAAATTAACACTGTTTTTATGAGTGAAAAAAAAACACACAAAAAAACAAATTTATGGCGTTATTAACCAAAAAGTAAGAGTAAACAAATCCAATCTGCATTTGATATAAAAGTGGTTACAAGATGAAATTTACTCACCACAACTAAGTCTGATAGAAACTATAATATATAATTGAAGATATCACTAATATATTGCTTCTCTTTAGATTTGACCAAAGGACCTATACTTAAATTAAATAACAGCATTAACCGACATTAGACGTGTTTAAACATGTACGTTACATACTAATTAATTTTAGTATGGTATGAATAAGCAAACCGAAAGTAGAGTAGGAAAGTAACACTATCTGTGTGATTCATCACAAATTAACAAACAAGCTTTCAACAAGAGGCCACATATTTGGTATGCTAAAGTTTTTCTCCGGATATAAAGGGAGATATAACGTTCGTATCCAGATAGCAATTTACAGGGGAAGCGTGAAAATTGTATCCACATTTTGTGATCGATTTCCGAATAAACTACAGTTGATTGCATCTTGTGCATTTGTCATCTGAGGCAAGTACATGTGAAGCTGTGCATCCTACATTGCATGATTTAATTGATCCTGTGAATTTTGAGAATTAGACCATTAAATACTTTCACTATGTAAACCTATACGCATTGTTTCGGTCGGTAATTGTACATGCTGTAAATACTTTTAATGCAGATTTATTTAGAATGTTATTTATATTGTAAGGTTTGTATAGAGAGTGTGGACATATAATTCTAGGTTTTAATAAACGGTTTTATGACCAATATTTGACGGTACGAGATACGGGAGTTCGGCTCTTTATATTTGAATATACATGTATGATGTATTAAAACTTCTCAGCACAAAGGTTCAGCCTTTATTACAAACCTCGATCCTAAAATGTTTCAAGACACTAGAAATATGTACGGTAGTGAATGAACACGATACAAATGTTATGTAAATCAAGATAGATAAGAATTTTTTAATGCCTAGATATTAAACTTTAATACTAAATGTTTATAAATTAAGACTGGCTATGCCAGCCATTCAGGCTACACTTGTTTGAAGGGATAGTACATTTTATAAACAACATTTTCAAGAAACTTGAGCGCGCAGCTTCAGTCCACGCTCATCAATTATTTACTACATATAAAAATGTTGTTGTGAGCAATTAGGAATAAAATTTTAATACACTTCAGCTTCTTAACTGATGTAATACGTTATTACCACGGACTTTAATTACTCTAATTTATCTAAGTCGTTGATATTACACACGGATATACTTGCCCTACTCCAGCCTATGTATACCTGTAAACGTCACAGGTCATGGTAACGAAAGTCAGTGTCAGATGTTTCATTGGTCTGTTTAATGTTAATTAAATCGAGGACATCATGCCTTTTCAAACATTTAACTGATCTTTTAACGGTAACGCATGATCATATTCATCTTTCCGCTTTAATAACGAAAGTTGCAACTTTGTGTCCATATACCTCATGCAATCATTACATATTTAACACTGTCGAACGCTCATATGTTATTATTGGTAAAATAAAAGTACCGTACAACAGATACAAATATCATGCCGATACAGCCTATGCATACCTGTTTACACTGTACCACACAGCCCCCGATAAGAAAAATGTCCTTGTTCTGTTTAATGTTAATTAAATTGAAGCATGCCCTGTTAGATATTTAACTGACCTTTTCACGGAAATTACCAATATAAGCGCATGCGCAAAGTCGATCTCCCTCTAGGCAAAAAGGATAAATTTTCTTAACTCGCTGCTGAATTAACTGCGTGGGGCTAAGGGCTTACGCAATAACACAATTAAATCCATGTCCATTGCTGAATAGGTTAACTTTTTATATATTCCAAGATCCAAGTGTGATGCATGTCGGCACCTGTTGTAATATTGGTCCCTTCTAATAAAGTGCACAAATGATATATCACAGTCCTGGACGGTACAGCATCCATCTTTCACTGGTAATTCTCCAGTTTCTCAAGGAACCTAATCTGTTTCTTATCTCAGATGATGAGAACGGTAATCACCCTGAAGCAGTAACCATGCTTTCCGTATTCATCCGCATCAACTTAAGTCAAAACCATGACTTCCTCTGTGCTATTTTCTGAATCCACAAATGCCTTCTACAAAAGATAAACTGCCTATAGCACATTTAATTACGCAGTTCTTGATACACATTGTTAGTCTTCCAAACAACATGACAGTTGACACTTGTCAAACTAGCGAAAGGTGACAGTTGTTAATAAACAAGAGTATTGAACCCGTTTTGATAGCGAACGCTTTTGTGTGTTCTCGGGCTCACGAAGTGAGCTTCATAGGTAACACGTACACGTACACGTTAAAGAAACCCCAATCAAAATCTACTATGAAATCCAATAGACCTAGCAAGTCAATTCACTTGCATAATTTAGGAAATCACGCGTGTACAAATTCTGTTTATGGAAGCCAAATTGTGGATCCACCGGATATACAACAATGTCTAATATACTTAATCTATTTCAATACATAAACAAACGGTCTTAGATAACGTTTCTTTTCCAGTCTGGCCGTGCATTTTTCCTTACCAGTTACAGTGGTGCCTGTGACCAACCCTTGTTGCAAGCATTTGGTGCATGTTTGACAAGGGGATACCCGAACCTGGGTTGTAAATAGTTGTGTCGTCGGGGCGAAGACTTCGAAAATGGAGGGAGGAATGTAGAGGAACTGGACTGGGTCAGCTTAATTGGTAGATCGTCCTTCTAGAGTTCGGAGGGTGCCGGTTTTGAACCCCGGTCTGGTCGTGCATTTTCCCTCTCCTGTTACATTGGTTTACATAATTAAATCGGCTAACGTCATCTTTAACATTATATAACGTAATATACTGTAACACCTTTAGTCATTATAATACGAATTAAACTATGGTCCAAACTACATTGCATATAAAATGAACCTCTGTGTGCGATGCGATATCGTCTGAAATATTAATGCTTACTCTTCAACTATTATCTGGTGGTTAGCCTATGTTATTCAAATAAATTATACTGTATACATTTTAATCAAATAAGCGAACGCTTTTAGGTAGCATCTGTTTCATATTAGCATCACAGCATTTTAACTTACAAGCGGTGAAATACTGCTGGTGTTAAGATGTTTGGAGCTAGCTCAAAGTGCCTAGATCTAATACAGAATCCCCAATACCCAGGGTTTCGTCTAAATGCCATGCGAAAAAAAATCCAAAACAGATGAATCATAACCTGCAAATATGATAAGGAAATCATAGATAATTGTAGACTTACGAAGTCGGTTTATATCAATCAAACAATGTGCCTGCGCAAAGCAGACGAAGCGTTTTATGACGGGAATTTATCTTAAATTTACCGATTTTTTTTTCTTTTATATGAAATGCATATTCTAAGATGTAAATTTATCCAATCTATTCCATTTGTCCAAGCTATCTGGTCGCTGACGATCGACCCAGTCAAGTTCCGCTACATTTCTCCCTCCTTTTTCCAAGTCTTTGCCGGTGAAGACACAAAAAAATCAATGTCGATTAATTGAGTTGATGGACGACAGAGAGCTCGAGGGGTGGTGGAAAGAGGAGGTGTTATGATCGAGCTAGTTAGTCTAATCTTACTACATTATACATGGATGTTACACATCGTGTTTAGCACACCACTGCTACCCAGTCTAGTAAAGATTGGATAAATTTACATCTTAGAATATGCATATCATATAAACGAAGCACGTGGCCTATAGAATAGCCGAAATGTTCAAATAATCATTGCATACTTGATTTAACGAGCGAGTCTTTATTAAATTTTCAAATAAACTGACACATAATAAAAGTTTTGTTCTGATTAGATCTTTCAATCCATTAATATTTGTGAAAAAAGGAGAATGTGTGTTCAGGGGAAATCACTCAGGAAGGACTTGATTGGAAAATGTAAAGGTTTATGTTAAAATAAAGTGTTGAATTATTATCAAATAAATATGCACACGATTAAATACACTGATTATACTTGTTACTTCTTATATGTTTGATATAGTTTGCTGGCGTTGTGTATTTAACATGTGTATTTTTTACGGAACGAATTACCCTATTCCCAGAAATACATACCTAGAACTAGAACACTGGGCGACCTTGTCAGACGCTGTCGAGCGAGTCAGCCAATTGTAAATAAACTCAGGTTTATATCCTTCCTCGTCAAAACGAATCAAGCTTAGATAGACCCGGATATATGGTTTACTCCTGACCTGTGTATTTTAAGATTTGTATTTATGAATATACAGGTATATATTGCAGATATAGCACTATATTTTTTTTTTATGAAATTCAATGTTGATCATGACCCATGTATTACCCCTCGAACTTATGGAAATATATTCGTTAACATATCCTTTGTCATAGTTCTGTGATATCAAATTGATGTAATTGGGAAAATTCAAGGTATTGAAAGGGATTAATGATGCAAAAAGTTGTCAGATATTACTGGCTTCATCAAACATTGTGGCGTTTCAACAATGAATGATAACAATAACAAATTCAGCATTGTGTTGATATACAAACAAAACCTGTTTAGAAAAACATAGAAAAGTTGAATGTTTTACTTTTTGCAAACTACCATTACCTGTTTTAAGTATATTTTATAGTGTCACTAGTCGGAATTCAATAAACGTCCTTTACATAAATTTAAATTCAGTTACTGCATTGATCGAAATCAGACCTGTTTTAAAATGCAGGCAACAACATATTCGTTTTAGAATGGTATGTATATTCAAACCGAAAGAAGAGTACAAAAGTATTTGCACATGTGTGATTTATCACAAATTGAATCAATAAACCATAGTCGTGATTTTCTTTACACAAAGAAATATAACCTTGTCATGTTTGCGATCAATTACGTACAACACTGTTTAAAGCTGACAGTGCAAGTTAAAAAGCTTTCAATTAAGATTGATTTTTGTGAGATATTTTGGGTTTTTTTTTATATCACCCCTGGTGACGCTCTCCTCTGGTTATCGTTACGAAGAAAGCGCTGACATTTTAAATTGTCCTTGCTTGGTAACCGTTATAGGTCTCGCTACTTCTTTCTTTCTATTTCTTTCTCTCCAATTCAACTATGACGGACATTTTTTCTGTGTTAAATAAACGCGAATGTACTTGAAATGTTTGCCGAAATAGATTAATATTGATAGAAAAATAACAAGAAAAAAAAAATGTGACGTTACCTGATAATATTCTTGCTTTTGTATTTTTAACTGCAAATTTCAGAATTTGAAGCATGGCTTCAATCGACAAACACCTTTTGGTGGCCGCCATTGACTTCGGAACCACTTACTCGGGGTATGCCTTCTCCTTCCTCCACGACTATCAACGTGACCCATTGAAGATTTCAGCCAACAACTGGACAGCGGGTTCAGGGGGTCTTATATCCCTGAAGACGTCCACCTGTGTTCTCTTTAAACCAAACGGTGACGTCCACTCTTTTGGTTTTGAGGCTGAAGACAAATATTCCGATCTTTCCTTAGACGGAGAACAAGATGGATGGCACTACTTCCGACGATTTAAAATGAAACTTTATGAGAACAAGGTATTTGTTAAATTTAATTCGTTGGCCTGTAAAATAGTAAAAAAATCAAATAATCCTGTCGTTCTCTCTCAATACTCAAATTCACCTGTAATTTGACAACCTGTTAACATTTTTGGGTATGCTTTATGTAGTTAATAAGTGTTCGTCTAGTCAAATCCTTTATTTCCTGTGCTTTGTGAATGTTTTTGCAATCAACAGATTCATGATTGTCTTGATGTTCGTATCCAATCCAGTTTTTGTCAGCTTTTACATTGCTTGTTAGGCTTCAATGCAATATGATGGTTGAGTGTATTGGTTGATTTTGTTGCAATAAGCATGTCATGACATTAAATGACCATGTGAAGTAGGTAAGAATAAAAAAAACACTAAGATATGATGACCGACTTCAAAACTAGCAGAGTGCCCTGTGAAGGGTCAAGGCAGTTTTGACCCCTCACAGAGTGTCATGTGAAGGTTCAAGGCTATCAGTTTTGAATTCTGTCACTATTTTTTAGTTTTATGTTTTACATATATTGATATGTTTTGGTTTCCGGTTGAATGCAATATATATTTCATGAGTGTAGCAGAATACGGATAGTTTTTACAAATACTAGGACAACTTCTTCAAAGAAATATGACAGTGGATATTTGACGCTTTATTCTAATGATGACACTCTTTACAGGAAGATCAGACGCTATTTAAAATAGGCTTCTCAACACAATACTGCTGTTATTTGGTTAGATTTGCTTTCATAGATGGTATCAATTGTGTAGGTACATTTATATGTTTATGCATGTTGCATCTACTTGTTTATATGTTTCCGAACAAAATATTCTACGACTTTGAATGAGATGAATAGAAAGTTCAGTTCTTATTGTTTATTATCAAAAGTGATACATTCACAATGTAAAAATATCATCTTTCTCTCACAGTACGAACGATTTCAGTTTATTTTCAAGTTTTATATAATTCGATATCTCATCGGCAAAATATTAATATATCTTGATGATGATGATGATGATGATGATGATGATGATGATGATGATGATGTCAAATGATAATGATCAGTATGACATGCTTTTAAGAATAAATGTGTGAGTGTAAAAATGATGATGATAATGGCAATGATATATTTAAGGATTGATCTTCATTTTGACGGCGTATACGTTAGTATGAACGCAGTTGGCAACGAACTTATTCTATGGTGCGCGTTAGAATGTTTAATTATACATTACGCAGAAAAAACGTCGAAGCGGGTTGCCACGATGGTAACTAAGGTAGCCGTGGTTGATAGGACAATATAGTTCCAGTGAATTTACATCGCTATATGAGTAAATTTAGAACATACGCAGTGAACAACATTATTTTCCCTCATGGTTTAAAAAATTTAAATTAAGCAATGTGAGAAGCCCTTCGAACTTTTCTATTCACTTAAAACGGTCGTCATGTACACACATTGACACACTGATCATTGAGTGAATCGGTCGAACGTTTCAGAACGAAGCCGCCATTGTTGACGTTACCGCTAAAGAAATTTGAATAAGAAGTTTGTCAGCATTGCTTTGTTGTATAGTTAGACTTAAAACACAGTTGTGATGTCACCCATTGTGTTTTTTGTATTATATACAGTAGGTGTTGAGGTATCACCTATGGCTGTACAATAAGTTACCTGTAGCTGTGTAGTAAGTTGATATGACCGTCTTTTAAATGACAACTATCACACGGCTACAGGTTATTTATTGGACAGTTGTGACATCACATTATAGAGAAGAGATGGGCGGAGCTAAACTGGAGAAATCAGCGATATAGGTAATACAAAAATAACAAACACATGGATTTTGTAAGTATAATATTAAATCAATATATGGAATACAAGTAGTGTACTATCCTTAGAATCCAACACATTCAAAATCAACAGCTATAATCCCCGGCGGTGTATATATCCGTGGAATTTAACACATTCAAAATGCAATAGCTAGAGTACTGAAACAACACATTCAAAATCCAACAGCTAGAACACTGTGTACATGTACCAGAAATGTGTATATATCCATGGAATTTAACACATTCAAATTTCAACAGCTACCCTGTGGAGTTCAACATATTCTAAATTCAACTATTAGCGTACTGTACCGGCGGTATTTATATATATATCCTTTGAATTCAACACAATCAAAATTCAACAGCTAGAGCACCTTACTAGCGGTGTATATATCCATGGAATTCAACACATTGAAATTTCAACAGCTACTGTACTGTACCCACGGTGTATATATCCGTGGAATTAAAAACAATCAAAACTCAACAGCTATACTGTCTACTTCTTGTGTAATTTTTCCTTTTCAGATATGACTGAAAAATGTTGCTTTAATCGTAAAATTCGGCCTCTAATTATTTTTCTCTTTCTTTTCCAAAATGTCACTCAATCACCGTCAAATACAACTTGTTTCTCAAGCGTCCATAAATTTTGACTGAGTTATAAAAATAACCTCCTCAGTGTCCGAGAACATTGCGATATATGAATACATGTTCACTTCAAAGACTCAAACATTATGCATGAGCTTTGCATGAGAGTAGCAACAGGTTCACCTTTTATTGTCCAATAAGTAAAACGGGTCAGTGAACACCAATAGAGAATCAGCATTGGAGGCACCCAGAGGGGATTATGTTTTAAGTTAGATATAAGACTCAAACTGTTTTCGGCTTATATCCATACATAATAGATCCCGAATATGTTCTTTGTATCTAGATGGTGAATGAACCAAGCTTTGGTTATCATTTGACTGTTACCTTGCTGAAGCGTGAACGGCGTCATATTTGAAACAAGTATCAATCCGCCGAGCCTTTTTTTCACAGTGAATACGCTAATTTATACGCAGTCAGAGTTTACTAAGTTGAAGAAGGGAGACAGGTAAATATATACATATATCAACATTATTTTTTTCTATTCAGTGTTTAAACCGCTCGTTCAAGATAGAAGATGATCAAGGTCACACAATGGCGGCTATCAAAGTGTTTACAGCAGTCATCAAGTACCTCAAGGATCAAATGCTGACGTCGTGTAAAAACCAGATGACAGACATCAAGGCGACAGATATCCTCTGGGTCCTTACTGTTCCTGCAATCTGGTCCGATGCCTCCAAACAGTTCATGCGAGAGGCTGCTGAGGCGGTAAGATTTATGATCATTTCATACACAAAAGCAGCAATAAAAAGAACCCGAGTTAAACGCAATTTTTTATTTTGATAGTAATTAAATAATAAATATTTGTCGGAATCGAGAAAAAAATCTTCAACTGGGTGCGCCAGCAAAATAGTAGTAGTTGAATGAAGGATACTTTGAAATGAAAAAGAATATATATATATATATAAACATGCATAAAGAGTAATGCTAATTAAAAGGATCAGGGGAGATAACTCCAATATGATAAACACAACGGGAATGAACTCATAGGACATCACACTAACAATGCACAAACAAATCACATTCATACATACACACATACAGTTATTCTCTCATTAAATGAAGCATAGTAGCATATACAATTTACAGCTCACTCGTCCACATCGATTATCCTTGATTATGATCAGACAACAAACACTACAGTACATAAATAGCTCTTGAGAAAGAAGTATATCAAGCACGATATCAGGTTTTAATTTAATCTACGGACATGACAACTATATGACTGCTGATATATATTACTTAACTTTGAAAGATAAGTAGTACAATATTATCATACAAAATATTTTTGTTTTCAATTTTTCTTGATTATTTATTCATTTGTGTTTACATCTAGCACCAATTTCCAAAGGTAAAAAAAAAAAAACCTGCGTTAAGAAGAGAAAGAAATGATTTTTTTCTCAAGGGTTACAGAACAAAGCAGATGTCATAATATTGATAACATATTATTGAATTAACATCTTGTAATATGGACATGAACAAAAACATCAAATTACACTTGCAATTTAATCTCACTCTATTACATAAAACTTACGATAAGGATCAAAGCATTAGATTTCTTCTACTTCCTTCATAATTTTACCTTCAATTATTTACTAAGAAAACACTTTGTTTATTCGACTATGTTTTGTTTTTAGGCTGGTATCCAATGGAATCACCTGCTGATTGCCCTAGAACCGGAGGCCGCATCGCTGTACTGTAAATACCTTCCATTGGAAAGAAAGGGAGAGGGCGGTCTGAAAACCTTTACTGCGGGGTCAAAGTACCTTGTCCTTGACGCCGGAGGTACGTAAAGAGAAGACCTAAATTTGCAGACATGTCTGTTCAATCCCTTTGTACATTTAGACTTTATTAATTTAATTCAAAGCAAATATAAAACATTTTTTCAACTTATATTAACCACTCTTGTTTGCTCAGATTAAATTACGCAGGGTTTTAATGTCGGAGGAAATTGGAGTACCTAGAGAAAACCCACGTGGTCGGGCAGGTGACCAAAAACCTTTTCGATCCTATTGGAAAATCAAACCCGGTCATTATTTTCATTCTGTCGGAAATTCCCAGAAAAGTGTGATATGTGGAATTTAAAACTCTGCCAAAACTGATATTCAGGTTATTCATGAAATTGGTGTTAACCAATATCAAAATTTCACCCATAAATGGAAATGGACGGGTTTATATTATACAGGTAAATATATATGATGATAGATAATATATATGATGATAGATTAAGGGGCTCACAATTGTATTTTTGTACCACATTTCTAGGCGGCACGATAGACATTACCGTACACGAGGTTCAGCGGGATGGATCATTGAAGGAAATCCACAAGGCCAATGGTGGAGACTGGGGAGGTACGAAGGTTGATCACGCTTTCCAAGTTCTCTTATCTGGAATCATTGGTAACGGTGCATTTCACACCTTCATGGAAAAGAACAAGGCAGATATGGTCGAATTCTTCCGCGATTTTGAAGTGAAAAAACGCACCATAAAACCAAATGCTCCATCTGATGAAAAAGTCACCTTCAAAGTTCCGTCCACAATGAACGACGCATGCAAAGTTGAGAAAAGCAACGATATTGCCACGATTGTGAAATCGAAACAGCAGTTTAAGGGTAACTTGTCGGTCATTGGTGATAAATTAAGAGTCAGCGGAGATCGTGCTAAAGAACTGTTTAAAGACCCAGTAAAGCATATTGTGGCCCATTTGAAGGAGTTGTTGGAGGTACCGTCTGCAAGGGAAGTGACAAGTATCTTGATGGTTGGGGGATTTTCGGAGTCCCTTGTTCTACAGGATGAAATCAAAGCAAGTTTCCCGAACCTTCGAATGATTGTGCCGCAGGATGCAGGCCTGGCAGTTCTAAAAGGAGCGGTCATCTTTGGGCATGAACCAAGGGCTATTAAGTCACGTGTTTGTAAATACACTTATGGAGTAGACTGTACACAAATGTTTGATGCCGAAAAGCATGATCCCTCTCATCGATACACCACTTCTGATGGCGAAGTGAGATGCAATGACTTATTTTCTATCCATGTTCGTATTGGGGATTGTGTGGATATCGGACAACCACAGTCAGTTGAAAGTTACACTCCTCTTACTCCAGACCAAACGGCCATGTCATTTTCAGTGTATGTATCCACAGAGACGAACCCCGATTACGTGACAGATCCAGATTGTACTAAGATTGGTCATTTTACAATCGCCATGCCGGACACGACTAAGGGACTGAACAGATCTGTAAGTGTACAGATGACTTTTAGTAACACAGAGCTCGAAGTAGAAGCCATTCAGGGAGACACAGGGGAGATATTCACCGCGGCATTCGACTTTCTGTAATGTATATAAACTAGCTGTGATCTTCGTTTAACGTTTGTTGTACAATGCTGTGAAGTTTGAACTCGTTTCAGTGACATCTCATCCAAACCATTAACGGTGAACAGGAGGTAGTAAAGAGGACCTTCCTCATAGATTTCATGATAAAAATATTACATTGAGACTACTATAAGACCACTAGAGGACTCTGACTAGCCATATGGTTGTTCCTAGAAGTGTTTCCATAAGAAAGTAACAGCCAAAGATGTGATTAGTCTGAGAATCGTTAAAACGTTTTCGATTGTGTTGATATTAGATACAATGAACGAAATGAATCTATATATTTAATAACTGTAGTAATATAGTGCGATGTGATTGGACATTATCAATACCAGATTGCTTTCTTCACCTTTGTGATACTGAATTTAAAAGTCTTGCATTATTTATGAAGAATCATTTATGTGCCCTAGAAATTTGGAGAGCGCTACCTTTACATTCCCAAAGTAACTATTGCTCTTTTGATTCTGATAATTGTGGTTTGGGAAGATGTGCTGTCCACGTTGTTGTATTCTACAACGTTGAGGGTATACCATAATGTAATTAGTTCAGCAAACTTTAATAGTATATGTACTATTTTACCAGTCTGATGTACTGCAAAGAAAATTTTGTACCAGGGAAGTAGTTTGATTATACTCGAACAAAAAATGCACAAGAAAACATCATCTGAAAGAATATATTTAACCTATTTATACAGATATTTAGAAATGCATTATGTAACATACTTTAAAAGTACCAATATATAAATATTTGATGATACCAGCTACAGACAAGCTTACCTCCCGGTATGAATGAAAAATGATCTGCCACATATGTACAAAACACTTTCGGTCTAGCTCTGATGCATTGATATGTTCAACAAAATCTGCTGCTTCCCAGTAAGTTACAAATATTTGCCAACTTCTAATTATTCGAAGGATCATTGGCTCAGTGTCTGCCTTATATTTGACCCCTTGAGGCGACTCATTTTATGGCCCCTGCAGGGATTACCGGATCCCCGGCTCACTGTTTGTACCATATACATCAGCCCATAAGGCGACCTATTTGGAGGTCCCTGCAGAGACTACTGTGGTCACCCTTGTTTAAAATTTCCTTTTAAACCGTTTCCATGAACCACTCTGCAATACATTGCTATTAATATATGAAATTGTACAACTTCTTAATTTCTATTATGGTTTTTTTTATTTCTATTGAAAAATACATTTTAAGGCGAGTTTTATGTCTGTGGTCATTTTGGGGAGAGTTTTTCAAGACGAAATTATTTCGACGAGTTTATTTGGTAGACGACGTTTTCGGCACAAATTTCTAGTGTTTGTCTCTCGTTGTTTCATCTTATCGTCATACTAGCATTTCTTTATCCAGTTACTGTCGCATTATTCAACATTTTCCATCTTTGACCTTCGTTTACTACCTGGACGAGTAAGAGTAACTCAAGCCGCCATCATGACGTGCATTTCACCCCGTCCCTCGCAGCTTTTGTTTCACGCCGTGTTTACAAGAACAAAAACAAAAAAGATTTTCTCCTTATATTTATTAAGATTGTTTTGTATTAACTTACCTGACTTAAAGTATTCATGATGAATTTTGTACAGTAATAAGCATTCGATTACAAACTAATCGAGGGGGTTTGCGATTACAAAAGCACATTTTATATACTAATTGTCTATAAACATATGTTCCTATAGGGAAAATTTTATATAAGTAAATACTGTTTGTTTATATATTTTTTGTTGTAATTTTATAGTGACTTTTTATCTCTGTTATATGTTGTAATATGTAAATGTTCATGTTTCCGTCTTAAATATATTTTATGATATATATATATATATATATATTAAAATAATAAAGTTTTATCCAACTTAACGTTATCCCTAAAACAACGTATCCGTCTTATCACTTCTTTTTCGGACAGCAAGTTATTGCATTTCATACTACATATTCTCCCAGCATTTATATAAAATTATATTTTTATAGATTGTATATGTTTCAAGCGATTGCGATTCTGTTTATGGAGAATGTCAAGTAATTAACCGTAATTACTGGTGTAAAACTAGTGTAGGCAACGACTCAAATGCTACATTTGTGTCGGCTGAAAGCACATAATGTATAATCTAAAAGGCTGTTTATCTTTTTAAATCTATGTTTCAAAATTTAAATGTATTTCCATGTCTAATACTAGTATGTTTAGACCGATATATAATGTTAGTATCTTTGCGAAAAGATAAGGTCAACATGCTTATGGCTAGTGAGGATAAAGTAAATACAGTGTAAGATTTTGTTTTAAACCAATAAGATTCGATTATGTGATGTGAAAAGATATCACTGGTACAAAAAATAATACACGAAACAGTGTTAATTTACTAACTTGGGTCATTCAAAACAAATTACTCCATTCTACTAGGTGCATGATTCAATATGTTATAATGTTATAATGTTATAATGTTATAATGTTATAATGTTATAATGTTAATCCATCAACAAAACTATGGTAGTGAATGTTAATATTATATATTTCCTTTTATCTGTTGATTACTCAATCAAAGTATACAGCTCCAAACCATTCTTTTACTTTTACTCTTTATATATAATCACGATTGAATTAAGGGTTTTAGCGCGGTTTAAAAACGGAAATATTCAAACAGGGAATCATAATGATTTTACTAGTCAAATGAATTCAACATGAGGAATGTCAATTTTACAGTAAGAGAGGGATATTGTGAATATAATGTTTCCAGAGTGTGGCACGTATACGTCGTTAAAAATAAAAGCGCTCGGCATGAAAGTTACAGTGCATACTTAAAACTCTTAAATACTTATGTATTTTGTGTATTGGTATTCCGTTTATTGTACTTGGAACGAAAGCGATAAGTTACGCTGACGAGAAATAACCCCGAACATAAAAGGGTTCAGGTTACATGAAAATAACTGCAGAGGGGAGTTTAAGCAAATGTTATTACGTAACAAAGTGGTCGCTTAATTAACTTGCTGATTCAAGCACAGCAGTTATGTTAACCTAATTTTTCAGCTCTTTTTCATGGTAAAATAACCACAGGAATTATGTGTTGCTAATGGATTCGCTATTTCGAATATTGGTGTGTGTAGAAAATATCCGTTATTCACCGATTCGCGTTTTGAAAGTATTGATGATTTTCTTACACAAAATTGGTCGTGTTTAAGTTAATGGAACTTTTCAATGTTTTAAATCGCAAATAAAGTCTTTATTATGGCAAGATAATAATAAGTTACAGTCTGTTAGCTTTCAGACTCTCCAGACATTATTTGTACTGTTGTTTTGTCTGCATATATGTACTATGTATATCACACTAACTGCTGGACGGGTCGGGTGCCACCAGGTAATAAACAAACCCTCCATGACGAACAAGTATGTATCATTAAAATATACATTTGTAATAAGAATTTGGAAGTTAAACAGTTATGTTAATGTGTATGCATACTGGGTCAAACAGCTTACATACGTAGCTGTAAAGCAACAACATGTTTTCAGTTATTTAGGTCAGTTAAACGACATGGTACCAATCTCCTAGTTGACTTCAGCAAGACATCATACAAAAGGATAGATTAACCGACGGTCGCCAAAAAATACAAGTACCGTATCAGTCCTAATCTGATAATCAATATATCTGTGTGTATTTGTGTCTTATCAACGTAATTATATAAACACCATCACATGTATACGTATTGTGTGTATTGTCACCTATTGTGACGTATTAGACTATCGCAATGTCGAAAATGAAAGCACACCCCTACAAGCCACTTTTGTTCTATTTAAAAGCTTTGGTTAAACATATACTATGAAAGAAAACACAAATTCGTTCCTTTTGCATCAAAGTTTTTTATGGAATTCGCTAAAACTCCATTATATAAAATCATTGTACTGTTTTCATGTGGCACTGTGTATCAATATATGGTATACATAACGTAAACATCATCTCGTTTAGGACTAAATGGTACTCTTGTGATACATTTAAATACACAATCTGTTACAAAGTAACATTTTAAATTGTTTCCACAGGAAATGATATCGTAGACCAGATAATGACAGTTCTCCTCAGCACGAGCATGCTTGTTGGTGGAGTGCTTGGATTTGTGTTAGATACAGTACCTCCCGTCAAACCTAAATACCCGGTAAGTGTTGTAGCAGTATACTCCCGTCAAACCGAAATACCCGGTTAGTGTTGTAACAGTATACTCCCGTCAAACCTAAATACCCGGTAAGTGTTGTAACAGTATACTCCCGTCAAACCTAAAGACCCGGTAAGTGTTGTAACAGTATACTCACGTCAAACCGAAATACCCGGTAAGTGTTGTAACAGTATACTGCCGTCAAACTTAAATACCCGGTAAGTGTTGTAACAGTATACTCCCGTCAAACCTAAATACCCGGTAAGTGTTGTACCAGTATACTGCCGTCAAACTTAAATACCCGGAAAGTGTTGAAACAGTATACTCGCGTCAAACCTAAATACCCGGTAAGTGTTGTACCAATAAACTCCCGTCAAACCTAAATGCCCGGTAAGTGTTGTAACAGTATACTCCCATCAAACCTAAATACCCGGTAAGTGTTATAACAGTATACTCCCGTCAAACCTAAATACCAGGTAAGTGTTGTAACAGTATACTCCCATCAAACCTAAATACCCGGTAAGTGTTGTAACAGTATACTCCCGTCATACCTAAATACCCGGTGAGTGTTGTACCAATAAACTCCCGTCAAACCTAAATACCCGGCTAGTGTTGTAACAGTATACTCCTGTCAAACCTAAACTGAAATACCCGGTGAGTGTTGTACCAGTATACTCCCGTCAAACCTAAACTTAAATACCCGGCTAGTGTTGTACCAGTATACTCCCGTCAAACCTAAACTTAAATACTCGGTAAGTGTTGTAACAGTATACTCCCGTCAAACCTAAACTGAAATACCCGGTGAGTGTTGTACCAGTATACTCCCGTCAAACCTAAACTTAAATACCCGGCTAGTGTTGTAACAGTATACTCCTGTCAAACCTAACCTTAAATACCCGGTTAGTGTTGTAACAGTATACTCCTGTCAAACCTAAACTTAAATACCCGGTGAGTGTTGTACCAGTATACTCCCGTGAAACCTAAACTTAAATACCCGGTAAGTGTTGTAACAGTATACTCCCGTGAAACCTAAACTTAAATACCCGGCTAGTGTTGTAACAGTATACTCCTGTCAAACCTAAACTTAAATACTCGGTAAATGTTGTACCAGTATACTCCCGTGAAACCTAAACTTAAATACTCGGTAAGTGTTGTAACAGTATACCCCCGTCAAACCTAAACTTAAATACCCGGTGAGTGTTGTACCAGTATACTCCCGTGAAACCTAAACTTAAATACCCGGTTAGTGTTGTAACAGTATACTCCTGTCAAACCTAAACTTAAATACCCGGTAAGTGTTGTAACAGTATACTCCCGTCAAACCTAAACTTAAATACCCGGTAAGTGTCGATGTGGTTATTTTACAACGGGACATCATGATGTGGTTATTTTTATATCGTGACATCTTACCTCGGTAGTTTTTCTAACGCGACATCATACCTCGGTAATTTTTCTAACGCGACATCTTACTGCGGTTATTTTTCTAAAGCAAAAGACAAAAGTGTTTATGTTATAGCTCGACATTATAAGTCAGTGTTTTTTCATAAAGTAGTTCAAAACATTCGACCAGACACTGAGCATCTGACGTAAAACGATCAGACAATGATAAGTAACTGATACCTGCCCCCTGTGTAATGAGCCAAGTAAAAATAGATACCATTACCATTAAAAGGTTGATATCATTACTCATTTTAACATAGTTAATTGTTTTATCCAGTACATATTAAAATGCATTTGTTCATCATGCTCTTGTGTTGTGATTAATTTTCTTCCGTTATCCGCTGGAACTTGTTGTTTCACACAATGTGTCACGTTGATCAGATGAAGCACAGACACAACAGTTAAAATCCATCATGTCTTATTAGAAAGTTGCTGATACTGCAAGGCATTGACAAAGTACCACTTTCGAGTAACACACATCCTTGCCGAGATCATCTCAAGATCCCAGTATATATAGCAGACATATCAGGTTCCTGTGTTAACATTTAAACGTACCTGGAACAATGACAGTAAATAACAAATTTACATGAACTATGACAGTTAATAACAGATTTACAGGAACTACATGAATGACATCAAATAACAGATGTACAAGAACGATGACATCAAGTAACATATTTACAGCTTTCATACACTGCTCCCCCTTTAGCCTTATTGCAGAATACATATGATATGACAATAGTATTATGCCTAGCAATAAGTCCACTTTCAAGTAATATATGTGTGATCTATATTCGTAAATAACAGTATAGCATATCATATTCATTCTGCAATAAGGCTAAAGGGGGAGCAGTGTATGGAATCCAAGCTAGGGAGTATAGCTAATATTGCAGGGATAGAGATTAAAATATCTAAAAGAAAATCGACTTGGATTCAGAGGAAATTAATTTAAACTAGAACACTGACAGGTCAGTAAGGGCCCCGTCTTGTGACAATATATCCCCCATAATCATCAAGAACCAATCTGCCCATATAGCTGAGCTTGACGTTTGACATTTGGACTTCAAAAAGAATCGCAAGGAAGCAAAATAAACATTTTACATGTACTATGATGTGAGTCTTGTTTCCTTCCACCTCAATGTTTGCTGGGCTAACAGAAATGTAAATACCGGTACAATGCTCATTTGTTAGCTTTGATTTGTTCTATTTCACCTTATATACCTCCTCCATCAAGAACCAGGGTCAAAGTCAGAGATCCACTTTGTCTTTGACCTTTGGACCCAAATGACCTTGACCATTAACCCAGTGACCCTGCTCTTTGGTCAGTTGACTTATTCTTTGATTCCAACCAACTTTGCTTCTTAATATCATAACAAAATGTTCATCAGTGACAAATACAAAACTTGACCTTGACCCTTTGGACCCCGTAACCTGGACCTAAGGTCAGTTGACTCTGTGTTAATTTCTGAACAACATTGCTTCATAATGTCATAACAAAATGTTCATCAGGGAAAAAGTACAAAATTCAACCATCACTTTTGATCCAGTGACCTTGACCTTTGGTCAGTTGACTCTTTGTTTAATTCTAATCAACTTTGCTTCATCATGACTTAAGAAAATCATTTCATCAGTGAAAAGATCCAAAATTTGACATTGACCTTTGAATATAATGACCTTGACCTTTGACCTCGACTTTTAACCTCAGTGTGTCTCTTTGCTTAATTTCGAACAACTTTGCTAAATGATGTCATATCAAAATGTTCATCCGTGAAAAGCTACAAAATTTGACCTTGACCCCTGATCCGATGACCTTGACCTTTGGTCAGTTGACTCCTTTTTTAATTCTGATCAACTTTGCTTCATAATGTCATAACAAAATATTTATCAGTGAAAATATGTAAAATTTGACCTTGACCTTTGAATCTAATGATCTTGACCTTTAACCTTGACTTTTTACCTCAATGTGTATTTTTGTGAACTGAACATCTTGATCTAGTTTCATCTACATCGGTCAATACATACCAGAGTTATTAGCCAGGAACAAAATCAGTTCATCAGTGAAAAGATGCAAAAATTGACCTTGACCTTCGAATATAATGACCTTGACTTTTTACCTCGACTTTTTACCTCAGTGTGTCTCTTTGTTTAATTGCGACAGTTTGTTTCAGTTAGGTAGCACTATAAAGTCGGCATCAGTTTCGCGCTATCACAAGGAGACAAACACGAACATACCGCAGCCTCCCAAAATAAAAACACATACACTACACGCATACATCTTGCACACAGGAGAGGCCGTCCTTAAATGACCTTAGCTGTTAATAGGACGTTAAACAAAATCAAACAAACAAACATTATGTTAGGTGATCCTAACTGACAATATTTCATGATATATATAGATATATAGCTAAAGAACTAGAGTATGGGAGTATGTTGCACAAATGTACATGATTATTTAAGTCATTGTTTTGTTCCCTAAATCAGTAAAGACCTTGTGCATACGGGAATATGTGTGTTGAAGGGAAATAACTCAAACAGGGCTTTCTTAATACAGCTTGTTTACGAGTGTATATGTGATTTTCACGGAACAAATCCCTTAACCTGTTCTCGGAAAAACACACCTTATCAGCACATCCGAGTAAAAGCTGGTCAACCTTGATGTACAGGCTGTTGAGATAGTCGGTCACTCGTAAGTAAATCCACCTTAACACCATCCCAATTAGAAATATATCAAGCTTAAATATGTTTTGGTTATTTAATATGATGCTTAAATTTGTTTTTGACTAAAATGTTTACAGATATGCAGAAATATGCTGCAAATATAGCGAGATATTTATGCAATGTCGAACATGACCTGTCTACAGATATGCAGATACAGCGATATCTGTATGCATGCAGATATAGCGAGATTGGTATGCAATGTCGAACATGACCTGTCTCTAACACCTTTAATTAGTGTTAATATCTACAATAAATTATCCTCTGCCATAGTAAGGTTATACCATGGATATTAGTGTTATCAAGAAAACCAAGTTGTGGATAAAAAGGGGGTTAATAATGAAAGGAAATGTTAAATATTACTGGCTTCACCAATATCTATGGTGTTTCAACCAGGAAGTATATCCATAACAAACTCAGATCAGCGTAGTATATATATACAAACCAAAAGTGTTTAATAAAAACAAAGAAAAATGAGGTATGATTTGCTAAGTACAAACTACTAATACCTAATCTTATAAATCTTATAAATATATCATAAACTAATACCTCATGAAATTATTTCATATTATTTTGTTTTTAACCTGTCAGTCAGATGTTAAAAATAAATTAAATCAAATAGAATTTCATGTTATTAACAATATTACTGAATTGTTTTTTGAGCGCAATAAAACCCAACAAAAACACTTCCAAATATATGACCAGAAAGTACCAGTTAATAAATCCGATCTGCATTTGATGTTAAAGTGATTACAAGAAGAAATTAACACACCATCAATTAGTCTGATAGAAACTGTAATGTATAATTAGAGATATCACTTATATATTGCTTCTCATTAGATTTGAACTAAAGACCTTTACTTAAATCAAATTGCAGCATTAACCGACATTAGACGTGTTTAAACATGTACGTTACATACAAATTCATTTTAGTATGGTATGTATATGCAAACCGAAAGTAGAGTACACAAGTAACACTATCTGTGTGATTCATCACAAATTGGACACATTACATGTATATTAGAAACAAACTTTCAACAAGAAGCCACGTATCTGGTATGCTAGAGTTTTTCTCCGGATTTAAAGGGAGAGATAACGATCGTAAAGCCAGATAGCCACTGACATGGTTAGCGTGAAAATTGTATTCCAAATGTGTGATCGATTTTCCGAATAAACTACAGTTGATTGCATCTTGTGCATTTGTCATCTGAAGAAAGTACATGTGGAGCAGTGCAACCTACATTGCATAATTTAATTGAACCTGTGAATTTTGAGAATTAGACCGTTAAATGCTTTCACTATATAAACCTATACGTATTGTCTCGGTCGGTAATTGTACATGTTGCAAATACTTTCCATGCAGATTTATTTAGAATGTTATTTATATTTTAAGGTTTTTATAGAGGGTATGAACATATAATTTAGAGCTGAGATTTTAATAAACGGTATTATTACCAATATTTGACGGTACGAGATACGGGAGTTTGGCGTGAGGTTATATTGTTGCACACATAAGGGCCCATCCCCATACCGATAGGTACTTTTTGTAGGCCTAGTTACATGTACCTACCCCAAGTGCTGTGTCTGTACAGAAACTCATTTTTAAACTGTCTCTTTATCTTTGAACATGCATGTACATGTATGATGTATTAAAACTGCTTAGCACAACGGTTCAGCCTTTATTACAAACTTCGATCCCACACATGTGTCATGGCACTAGACATGTGTACGGTAGTAAATGAACTCGGTACAAATGTTCGGCAAATCAAGATAAGATATGATTGTTTTAATGCCTAGATATTAAATGTTTAAACTAAATGTTTATAAATTAAGACTGGCTATGCCAGCCATTCAGGCTACACTTGTTTAAAGGGATAATACATTTTATAAACAATATTTTCAAGAAAATTGAGCGCGCAGCTTCAGTCCACGCTCATCAATAATCTACTACATATAAAAATGTTGTTGTGAGCAATTAGGAATAAAATTCGAATACGCTTTAGCTTCTTAACTGTTGTAATACGTTATTACCACGGACTTTAATTACTCTAATTTATCTAAGTCTGTGATATATATATTTTTTTTATTTTTTTGTAATGTTTTGTTTTCTTAGTTATAACGATGCAAATATATCATACATAAACATAAGTACTCTTACACATTACCATTCATTCATTAAATATTCATTTATAATAAACTGCATACATGGCCATGGTACCTCTCTATTATTTCCAGGTTTAATTAATGATTAATTATGTTTATGTCAAATCAAATTACATTAAGTCTGCTATATATATAAGCATTGTTTAGAAGTGATAGAAAAGAGGTTAGAGCAGGTCCTAAGGGTATAGAAGGGTAAGTAAGACTAAAGAGAGAGAAAAACAAAGAGGTGGAGGGGGGAGGGGGAATGAGAAATAAAGAAGCTATATAGATGTGTCGGAAAGTTCAAGGAGTTTTACATATATGTATTTAGAAGTACACGTTTATATAAGAAAATTCTATAGTTATATGTTCATATTTTGGCAAAGACCGGGTTTAAGCAATATTAATTAGACTTTCCCATTTTTTCCATTCAGTATTAAATTTCAATAAAAATAATTCACTTTTATTAACAGCAATATATCTCTGAGTAAAATATGTGTCCTTGATAAGGTTCTTAAATGCAGCTACTGGCAATGACATTTGTAAACATTTCGATTTATAAATATTGCACTATCGGTAAGAGCTGCTTCAAAAAGATAAGAATTTGTTTTTAAAATGTGTTGATTTATTCTGTATTGAAGCCATTGTAATTTTGAATTTCTAGTTACTGTAAAAGGAATCATATATATCAATTTCCATGTGTCATCATCGAATTCAACCAATTCATTCCATTTGTTTTTCCCAGTGGATATGGTACTATTTTGGCACAACAATTAAGTCTGTGATATTACACACGGATATACCTGCCCTGCTTCAGCCTATGTAACGCAAGTCAGTAATATACCGTAACACCTTTAGTCATTATGATACGAATTAAACTATGGCCGATACTACATTGCATAGGGGTACATGTATATTCCATTGAATTATATAATGTATCAGCGGCTTTCAATACAAATTGGACCTCTGTGTGCGATGCGATATCGTCCAAAATATTAATGCTTACTCTTCAACTATTATCAGGTGGTTACCCTATTTTATTCAAATTATTAAAATGTATACAGAATAATTTAAATAAGTGAACGCTTCTAGGTAGCACCTATTTCATATTAGCATCACAGTATTTTAACTTACTAGCTCAAAGTGCCTAGATCTATTACAGAATCTCAAATACTCAGAGTTCCGTCTAAATTCCATGCGACAAAATTAAAAAAAAAATCAAAAAAATCATAAACTGTAAATATGATAAGGAAATCAAAGATAATTGAAGACTAACGAAGTCGGTGTTATCAATCAAAAAATGCACCTCTCATGATCGTCAGTAAAGTTAGATGTTAAATACCAATCTGAAGAGTTCTATTGACAAAATGTTACTTATTTAATTTGAAAGAAACATGAAACATGTTATAATAGCAAAGTTTCTGACGGAAAGCAGACGACGCGTCTTATGACGGAAATTAATCTTAAATGAGCGAGCACATGAGTACAGAGGTACGTTTTCAATTTAAGCAAGACGGTGGGTTCCCTTTTATCTTATTACTTTGTCGATTGATTGAGTTGATGGACGACAGAGAGGGGTGGGGGAAAGAGGAGATGAGGTGTTATGATCGAGCTAGTTAGTCTAATCTTACTACACTATACATGTACTTATACATTGATGTTACACATCGTGTTTACCACACCACTGCTACCCAGTCTAGCAAAGATTGGATAAACTTACATCTTAGAATATGCATTTCATATAAAAGAAGCACGTGGCCATAAGAATAGCCTAAACGTTCAAACAATCATTGCATACTTGATTTTACGAGCGAGTCATTATCGACTTTTCAAATATACCGACACACAATAAAAGTTTTGTTCTGATTAGATCTTTCAATCCATTAAGATTTGTGAAAAAAGGAGAATGTGTGTTCAGGGGAAATCACTCAGGAAGGACTTGATTGGAAAATGTAAAGGTTTATGTTAAAATAAAGTGTTGAATTATTATCAAACATACACACGGTTAAATACACTGATTATACTTGTTAGTTCTTATCTGTTTGATATAGTGTGCTGGCGTTGTGTATTTAACATTTGTATATGTTTCACGGAACGAATTATTCTATTCCCAAAACTACATACCTAGAACTAGAACACTAGGACACCCGTGTAAACACTGGGCGACCTTGTCAGACGCTGTCGAGCGAGTCAGCCAATTGTAAATAAACTCAGGTTTATATCCTCCCTATCAAGCTTAGATAGACCCGGATATATGGTTTACTCCTGACCTATGTAGATTTGTATTTTAAATATACAGGTATATATTGCAGATATAGCGCTATTTGTTTTTATGAAATTCAATGTTGATCATTACCTATCTCTTACCCCTCGAACTTATGAAAATATATTCGTTAACATATCCTTTGTCATAGTTCTGTGATATCAAATTGATGTAATTGGGAAAATTCAAGGTATTGAAAGGGATTAATGATGCAAAAAGTTGTCAGATATTACTGGCTTCATCAAACATTGTGGCGTTTCAACAATAAATTATAACAAATTCAGCGTTGTGTTGATATACCAACAAAACCTGTTTAGAAAAACATAGAAAAGTTGAATGGTTTACTTTTTGCAAACTACCATTACCTGTTTTAAGTATAATATATAGTGTCACGAGTCGGAATTGAATAAACGTCCTTTACATAAATTTAAATTCAGTTACTGCATTGATCGAAATCAGACTTGTTTTAAAATGCAGGCAACAACATATTCGTTTTAGAATGGTATGTATATTCAAACCGAAAGTAGAGAACAAAAGTATTCGCATATGTGTGATTTATCACAAATTGAATCAATAAATCATAGTCGTGATTTTGTTTAAACAAAGAAAAGTTGAATGGTTTACTTTTTGCAAACTACCATTACCTGTTTTAAGTATAATATATAGTGTCACGAGTCGGAATTCAATAAACGTCCTTTACATAAATTTAAATTCAGTTACTGCATTGATCGAAATCAGACTTGTTTTAAAATGCAGGCAACAACATTCAAACCGAAAGTAGAGAACAAAAGTATTCGCATATGTGTGATTTATCACAAATTGAATCAATAAATCATAGTCGTGATTTTGTTTAAACAAAGAAATAAACCCTGTCATGTTTGCTATCAATTACATACAATACTGTTTAAAGCTGACAGTGCAAGTTAAAAAGCTTTCAATTAAGATTGATTTTTGTGAGATATTTTTGGGGGGTTTTGATATCTTCTCCGGTGACTCTCTCCTCTGGCAATCGTTTCGAAGAAAGCGCCGACATTTTAAGTTGGCCATGCTTGGTAACGGGTATGGGTCTCGCTACTTCTTTCTTTCTTTCTATTTCTTTCTCTTCAATTCAACAACGACGAACATTTTTTCTGTGTTAAATAAACGCGAATGTGCTTGAAATGTTTGCCGAAATAGATTAATATTGATAGAAAAATAACAAGGAAAACATTAAATGTGACGTTACCTGATAATATTCTTACTTTTGTATTTTTAACTGCAAATTTCAGAATTTGAAGCATGGCTTCCATCGAAAAACACCTTTTGGTGGCCGCCATTGACTTCGGAACCACTTACTCGGGGTATGCCTTCTCCTTCCTCCACGACTATCAACGTGACCCATTGAAGATTTCAGCCAACAACTGGACAGCGGGTTCAGGGGGTCTTATTTCCCTTAAGACGTCCACCTGTGTTCTCTTTAAACCAAACGGTGACTTCCACTCTTTTGGTTTTGAGGCTGAAGACAAATATTCCGATCTTTCCTTAGACAGAGAACAAGAGGGATGGTACTACTTCCGACGATTTAAAATGAAACTTTATGAGAACAAGGTATTTGTGAAATTTCCTTTTTTGGCCTGTAAAATAGTAAAAAATAAATATAATCCTGTCGTTCTCTCTCAATACTCAAGTTCACCTGTAATTTGACAACTTGTTAACAAATTTGGGTATGCTTTATGTAGTTAATAGGTGTTTGTCTAGTCAAATCCTTTATTTGATGTGCTTTGTGAATGCTTTTGCAATCAACAGATTCATGATTGTCTTGATGTTCGTATCCAATCCAGTGTTTGTCGGCTTTTACATTGCTTTTGTTAGGCTTCAATGCAACTTGATGGTTGATTGTTATGGTTGATTCGGTTGCAATAATAATGCCATGACATTAAATGACCATGTGAAATAGGTAAGAATAGAAAAAACTAACATATGATGACCGACGTCAAAACTAGTAGTTTTGACCTCTCACAGAGTGCCCTGTGAAGGGTCAAGGCTATCAGTTTTGACCCCTCACAGAGTGCCATGTGAAGGGTCAAGATTATCAGTTTCGACCCCTCACAGAGTGCCCTGTGAAGGGTCAAGGCTATCGGTTTTGACCCCTCACAGAGTGCCATGTGAAGGGTCAAGGCTATCAGTTTTGACCCCTCCCAGAGTACCCTGTGAAGGGTCAAGGCTATCAGTTTTGACCCCTCATAGAGTGCCCTGTGAAGGGTCAAGGCTAGCAGTTTTGACCCCTCACAGAGTGTCCTGTGACGGGTCAAGGCTATCAGTTTTGACACCTCACAGAGTGCCCTGTCAAGGGTCAAGGTTAGCAGTGACTACTCACAAGGCTATCAGTTTTGGATTCTGTCGCTATGTTTTTGTTTTATGTTTTTCATATATTTATATGTGTTGGTTTCCCGTTGAATGCAATATGTATTTCACGAGTATGGCAGAATACGGATAGTTTTCACGAATACGAAGAGATAGCTGCATCAAAGAAATACGACAGCGTATCTTTGACGCTTTATTCTAATGATGACACTCTTTACAGCAAGACCACGCGCTATTTAAAATAGGCTTCTCAACACAATACTATAGCTTTCTGCTATTACTTGGTTAGATTTGCTTTCATAGATGGTATCAATTGTGTAGGTACATTTATATTTTTATGTTTCTGAACATAAAAATCTACGACTTTGAATGAGATGAATAGAAAGTTCAGTTCTTATTGTTTAATATCAAAAGTCATAAAAACATCATCTTTCTCTCACAGAACGAACGATTTCAGGTGGGGTTTTTTCAAGTTTTATATAATTCGATATCTCACTGGCAAAATATTAATATATCTTGTTTCTGTATATTTTCTTTCCTTTTACGCATTTCGTGTAAAGTGTGTGTTAGGGGACGCGTAGTGTATGGCTGGGGAGAGGAGATTGGAAAGGTGAGCACATACTTAAACTTTGACCATAAACTGATGTTGTTGTTATTGTTGACAAGGACGACGACGACGACAACGACGACGACGACGACGATAGATGACTATGATGATCATTATGACATGCTTTTATTAATTAATGTGCGAGTGAAAAAAGGTGATGATAATGGCGATGATATATTTAAGGATTGATCTTCATTTTAACGGCTTATACGGTAGCATGAACGCAGTTGGCAACGAACATATTCTATGGTGCGCGTTAGAATGTTAGATTATACATTACGCAGAAAGGAAGTCGAAGCGGGTTGCCACGATGGTAACTACGGTAGCTGTGGTAGCTATGACAATATAGATCGAGTAAACCTACATCGATATATGAGTAAATTTAGAAAATACGCAGTGAACAACACTATTTATTTCCCCTCATGGTTTTCAAATTTTAAATTAAGCAATGTGAGAAGCCCTTCGAACAATTTTTTTTCATTTCAAACGGTCATCATGTACGCACATTGACTCACTGCTCATGGAATGACGCGGCCGAATGTTTTAAAACAAAGCCGCAATTGTTGACGCTACCGCCAAAGAAATTTGAATGTGCATTCATGGAATAAGAAGTTTGTCAGCATTCCTTTGTTGTATAATTAGACTTAAAACACAGTTGTAATGTCACATCACATTCTAGAGAAGAGATGGGCGGAGCTAAATTGGAGATTCAGTGATATAGGTAAAACAAAAATAACAAACACATGGATTTTTTCAGTATAATATTAAATCAAGATATGCAATACCAGTGGTGTACTATCCTTAGAATCCAACACATTTAAAATCAACAGCTAGATCACTGTGTATATGTACCAGCAGTGTACATATCCATGGAATTCAACACTTTCAAATTTGTACAGCTACCCTGTTGAGTTCAACATATTCTAAATTCAACTACAAGAGTACTGTACCTGCGGTGTATATATAAAGCCTTTGATTTCAAACCAATCAAAATTCAACAGCTAGAGCATTGTTCTAGCGGTGTATATATCCATGGAAATCAACACATTCACATTTCAACAGCTACGGTACTGTACAAGCGGTGTATATATCCGTGGAATTAAAAATAATCAAAATTCAGCAGCTGTACTGTCTACTTCTTGTGTAATTTTTCTTTTTTTAAATTGTAAAATTCAGCCCCTAATTATTTTCATTTTCATTTTCCAAAATGTCACTCAAACACCGTCAAATACAACTTGTTTCTCAAGCGTCCATTAATTTTGACTGAGTCATAAAAATAACCTCCTCAATGTCCTTGAACATTGTGATATATGAACACATGTTCACTTCAAAGACTCAAAAATCTTGCAGGTTCACCTTTTACTGTCCAATCAGTTAAACGGGTCAGTGAACACCAATAGAGAATCAGCAGTGGAGGCACCCAGAGGGCATTATGTTTTAAGTTAGTTATAAGCCTCAAACTATCTAATAAGTTAGAGAAAGAACAGGTCTTGGCCTTAACGGGCGTCGACACCTGTCCTTTCTCTCACTTATTAGACAGTTTTCGGCTTATATTCTTAGCATAATGGATCCCGAATATGTTGTATCTAGATGGTGAATGAACTAAGCTTTGGTTGTCATTAAACTGTTATCTTGCTGAAACGTGAACAGCGCCATATTTGAAACAAGTATCAATCCGCCGAGCCTTTTTCACTGCGAATACGCTAATTTATACGCAGTCAGAGTTTACTAAGTTGAAGAAAGGAGACAGGTAAATATATACATATGTCAACATTATTTTTTTTCTATTCAGTGTTTAAACCGCTCGTTCAAGATAGAAGATGATCAAGGTCACACAATGGCGGCTATCAAAGTGTTTACAGCAGTCATCAAGTATCTAAAGGATCAAATGCTGACGTCGTGTAAAAACCAGATGACAGACATCAAGGCGACAGATATCCTCTGGGTCCTTACTGTTCCTGCAATCTGGTCCGACGCCTCCAAACAATTCATGCGAGAGGCTGCTGAGGCTGTAAGATTTATAATCATTTCATACACAAAATCAGCAATAAAAAGAACCCGAGTTAAACGCAAATTTTAATAGTAAATAAAATAATAAGTATTTGTCGGAATCGAGAAAAAATGCTTCAACTGGGTACGTCAACAAAATTGTAGTAGTTGGATGAAGGATACATTGAAATGAAAAAGAATATGCATATATAAACATGCATAAAGAGTAATGCTAATTAAAAGGATCAGGGGAGATATCTCCAATATGATAAACACAACGGGATGAACTCATAGGACATCACACAAACAATGCACAAACAACTCACAATCAAACATCCAACACACAAACAGTTATTCTCTCATTTAATGAAGCATACACTGCTGTAGTAGCATATACAATTTACAGCTCACTCGTCCACATCGATTATCCTTAATTATGATCAGACAACAGTACAGTACATAATTAGCTCTTGAGAAAGAAGTATATCAAGGACGATATCAGGTTTAAATCTAATATACGGTAATGACAACTATATGACTGTGGATATATATTACTTCACTTTGAAATATAAGTTGTCCAATATTAGTATATCAAACATTTTTGTTTTACATTTTTCTTACGTATGTATTTATTTGTGTTTACTGATTCTGTTAAAAGATGCTTTTACATCTAGCACCAATTTTCAAAGGTAAAAAATAAAAATAAAAACTTTGAGTACAGAAAAGAAGTAATTTTGTTTTTCTCATGGGTTACAGAACAAAGCAGATGTCATAATATTGATAAAATATTATTGAATTAACATCTTGTAATAGGACATGAGCAAGATGTCGATATTCATCCGCAAAACACATGCTCTACAAAAACAGCAAATTACACTGGAAGTTTAATCTCACTCTATTACATAAAACTTAGAAATAGGATCAAAGCATAAGACTTCTTCTACTTCCTTCATACTGTTACCTTCAATTGTTGACTAACACAACACTTAGTTTCTTTGGCTTTGATGTATGTTTTGTTTTGTTTTTAGGCTGGTATCCAAGGGAATCACCTGCTGATTGCCCTAGAACCAGAGGCCGCATCGATGTACTGTAAATACCTTCCATTGGAAAGAAAAGGAGAGGGCGGTCTGAAAACCTTCACTGCGGGGTCAAAGTACCTTGTCCTTGACGCCGGAGGTACAAAAAAAAAGAAGATGTAAACTATTAGACATGACTGTCCAATCCCTTTGTACATTTAGACTTTATTTTAATTAAAGCAAATATGAAACAATGTCTCAACATATATATTAACCACTCCTGTTTGCTCGGGGGTAATTACGTAGGGTCTTAATGTTGGAGGAAATCGGAGTACCTGACGAAAGCCGACGTGGTCAGGCAGGTGACCAAATAGATTTTCGATCCTATTTGGTAAACGAAACCCGGTCAATATTTTTATTCCGTAGAAAATTTCCAGAATAGTGTTAAATATGGATTTACAATTTTGTGGAAAAAAAAAACCTCCTGCAGGTTATTCATGAAATTGGTGTTAACCAAGATAAGAAGTTAATCTGTTTAAGGAAATGGACGGGTACATATTTTCACATATAAATATATATGACGATAGATTAAGGGGCTCACAATTGTATTTTTGTACTACATTTCTAGGTGGAACGATAGACATTACCGTACACGAGGTTCAGCGGGATGGATCACTGAAGGAAATACACAAGGCCAATGGTGGAGACTGGGGAGGTACGAAGGTTGACCACGCGTTCCAAGTTCTCTTATCCGGAATCATTGGTAACGGTGCATTTCACTCCTTCATGGAAAAGAACAAGGCAGATATGGTCGAATTCTTCCGCGATTTTGAAGTGAAAAAACGCACCATCAAACCAAATGCTTCATCTGATGAAAAGGTCACCTTCAAAGTTCCGTCCACAATGAACGACGCATGCAAAGATGAGAACAGCAACGACATTGCAACGATTGTGAAGTCGAAACAGCATTTTAAGGGGAACTTGTCGGTCGTTGGTGATAAGTTAAGAGTCAGCGGAGATCGTGCTAAAGAATTGTTTAAGGACCCAGTTAAGCATATCGTAGCCCATTTGAAGAAGTTGTTGGACGAGCCGTCTGCCAGAGGAGTGAAAAGTATCTTGATGGTTGGGGGATTTTCGGAGTCCCTTGTTCTACAGGATGCAATCAAAAAAGGTTTCCCAAACCTCCGAATGATTGTGCCGCAGGATGCAGGCCTGGCAGTTCTGAAAGGAGCGGTCATATTTGGGCATGAACCAAGGGCTATTACGTCACGTGTTTGTAAATACACTTATGGAGTAAACTGTACAAAAATTTTTGATGCCGAAAAGCATGATCCCTCTCATCGATACACCACTTCTGATGGCCAAGTGAGATGTAGGAACATATTTGATATCCATGTTCGTATTGGAGATTGTGTGGATATCGGACAACCACAGACAGTTAAAAGTTACCGTCCTACTAATCCAGACCAAACGGCCATGTCATTCGAAGTGTATGTGTCCACAGAGACGGACCCCGATTACGTGACAGATCCAGGATGTACTAAAATTGGTATTTTTAAAATCGCCATGCCGGACACGTCTAAGGGACTGAAAAGATCTGTAAGTGTACAGATGACTTTCAGTAACGCAGAGCTCGAGGTAGAAGCCGCCGACAAAGATACCGGGGAGAAAGTCACCGCGGCATTCGACTTTCTTTAATGCATATAAACTAGCTGTGATATTTTTTTTATGATTTTGAATATATACTGTGTAGTCTGAATTCGTATCAGTGACATCTCATCAGAAAAGTCAACGGGGAGCAAGACGTAACGATAAGATGGAGACTACTATAAGACCACTAGAGGACTCTGACTCGCCATATGGTTGTTTCTTGGAGTGCTTCCATAAGAAGGTAGCAGCCAAATGAGTGTTATTTGTTTAAGAATCACTGAAATGTTTGGATTGTGATAATATTAAAGACTATGAATGAACTAGATCTATATATTCAATAACTGTAGTTATATAGTTCGAAAGTTTGGACATTGTTAATACTAGATTGCTTTCTTTTACCGTAGCGATACTGAATTTAATTAAGAATAAAATTTTATGAAGAATCCCCCCCAAATCAACTTATACTCTTTTGGTTTTTATAATTGATATGGGAAGATGTAATGTTCACGTTGCATATTCTAAAACGTTGAGGGTATACTAAACGTTCAGCAAACTTTAGTAATACATGAACTATTTTACCAGCCTGGTGTACTACAAAGATTGGTTTGTACCAAGGAAGTAGCTTGATGGTACCCGAGCAAACACATACACAAGAAAACATCATCTGAAAGAACATATTCAACAAATTTATACATATATTCCCTGTAGAATTGGGGATTTACTTTTATTACCCCTACTTGGGAACACAACGGTGACCAAAATAAATACGATACACCCATTGCAATATTTGGGATCTTTATATTTGTTTCTACATCTAACTACATTTTTGTCCCTAGCGCCTCGCTTGGTAACACCTAGCTTTTGGCTTTACTGTTGAACGTTTGCTCAGGTGAAAAAGAAAGTGGGTTCTGTCCCCAGGCCGGGACATACAAAAGTCCGAAAATGGTAGTTTTTTTCTCCGCTTAATGTCCAGCATTTAGGGTAATGCTGGTTCACCCGTTGTCAGTATAATGTGACCGGGCGGAATGCTGTGCCGGATGGGGTTTTTAATGAGGTATTACCATAAAGTAGATCCGCGCTATCACAACGAGGCAAATACACAAGCATAGCTGCCTCAAACACATATACACATATGTACAAATCCATTACACACACGGAGGCATGTCCTGCATGTAAGCTGTTGATAGAACATTAAACAAAATAAAACCAAACCAAACTAACGAGGCGACTTATTTGGGGGCCCTGTAGAGATTTCCGGCTCGCTGGCTCACTATTTGTACCCTTATAATCTTGACCTCTTGGGGTGACTTATATTTTTGCCTCTACAAAGACATCTTTTAGCACTCTCGTTTCAAATTTCCTGTTTACATGTACAACTCATTGTTTTTAATACATGAAATTGAATATCTTCTTATTAATAATAATATACAACATTTGATATAGCGTCCTATCTAGCTAACATAAGCCACTCTAAAGCGCTTTACAATACTTAGATATACAATTAATACAATTAGGAGATATAATTTTTGAGGAATTCGCAGGAGCTGCCTTGTCAGGCGCTAACTACTAGTCCTTTGCCACCTGGCTAATATCTCCCTATGTGTGTTTCCCCTGCGTGTGTGCTGGAGATGTATTGTGTTCTGTTTGTAGTGGGACCGTGCTTCCAACGGCATCTTTTATAGTGCCTCCTCACTTGAATGCTACATCACAGATACCGCAACATCCACCCCAGACCATTAGATATTCTACCTGGGTTGTTGGAGTTGTGTGGGCAGGAGAAACACACTTTCTCTGATATTCCATACGTTCGACGACTTCGGGGATCGAACCCCGGCCGCCTGCGTGGAAGGCCACAGTGTTAACCACTCCACCAATCTGTCCATTGTCTATTATGTTTTTATTTCAATGTATTGATTTTAGGGCGAGTTTTTGTAAGGACGAAGATGTCTCTGGTCCTTTAGGGGCGAATTTTTGTAGACGAAATTGTCTTTGAAGAGTTAGTTTGGTAGACGACATTTTCTAGTGCGGTGCTCGAGGTTTTTCATCTTACCATCGAACTAGCATTTTTATCAAGTTGCTGTCGCATTATCAAACATTTTCCATCTTTGACCTCTGTTTCCTTTCCGGTCGAGAAAGAGTAACCCATTTCGCAATTTTTACGTGCAGACATACCCCGTCCCTCCAAGCTTTTGTTTCCCGCCGTGTTCACACGAACAATTGCAATATAGATTTTTCTAACTAGGTTTATTAAATTTTACTGTATAAATTCATTTGATTTCAAGTATTAAACATAATTGTTTTACAAAAATTAACCTTCGGTTATCAGCTAGGCGATTACAATAGCATAATTAATATAAGTAACTACTATATTTTTTGTTTATGTAATTTTTGTTGTAATATTGTTTATCTGGACAGTTTATCTCTGTTATTTGTTTTAATATGTAACTGTTCATGTTTCTGTCCTGAAAAGGGGCGGACAGCCCACACAATTTCACAAATTATTACTAATTTGCCCAAATATTTTATAATATATTAATATAATAGTGTTATCCTTCTAAACGTTATCTCGAAAACAAAGTATCCGTCTTATTGCATTTCACATTATATGTATCCCAACATTTATATCAAATGATAGTTTTATAGATTGTATATGTTTCAAGCGATTGAAATGTTGTTAATGGAGAATGTAATTTACAATAAATTAGGCATCGACTCAAATAAAACATTTTGGCGGCTGAAAACACATAATGTTGAATCTAAAATACTGTAAATCCTTTCCATTGTTTTTTTTTTATATATTTCTGTCAAAATTTGAATGTATCTCCATGTATAATACTAGTATGATTACACCGATATAAAATGTTAGTATCTTTGCAAAAAGATCAAGTCAACATGCTTATGGATTTTGAGGATACAGAAGATACTCTTTAAGATTAAAAAAAAAATAGAATTAGACTATGTGATGTGAAAGAAAAAATAACTCCTACAAAAAAAATACACGAAGAGTGTAACGAGTAAATTTATGAACTTGGGTCTGCCAAAACAATTGCCTCATTCTACTAGGTTTAGGCTTTGCAATTATGTGTTATCGTGTTACTCTTTCAATAAAACTATGGTAGTGAATGTGTATATTATATCATATTTTTTCCTTTTATCTGTTGATTATTCAATAAAAGTATACAGCTCCAAAAGATTCCTTTACTTTTTATTTTGTTATATGTAATCACTAATGAATTCAGAGTTTAGCGCGGTTAAAAAGACTGTCTTATTTCATGATAAGTGATAGAATCTGTTCAAACTGTAAAAAGACATATTAAAAACGTAGAAATGTTCCAACAAGGAATAATGATAATGTCAAAAGTCGTACAATTCCACAGGAGGAAACTCATGTGTACAGTAAGAGAGGGATAATGTGAATATATAATATTTCTCCAGACAACAAATACACATTGTAGGTAAAGTAAGAAGAAAATCTTTGAACTGTTAGTTAACTTAATACATTTCTTTACAGTTTTTCGATAATAGTGATTACATTGGTACTTAAGGAGCACATGTACGGGTTTTGTTTTTTCATTATTTTTAATATTCAAGCTATGTGTTCGAATGCCATTTTCAGACAAAAATTACAATTATTATACAATGTAGCTTGCATTACAATTATTATACATTCTAACACGATTCGTTTACAACGTTTGTTTTGATTGGATACGGACCATGTTCTTATCTGCGATAGAATCATGATCAATCGTGATAAGCTACTCTCATCGCACTTAAGCCACGTCCCGTTTTTAACCAAAACAATATGGCGTCGAGCTCGCCTCTTAGCGAAATCCCGCTGATAAGGCTAGTAGGCAACAGAACAGAAACGACCGATGAAATGTATTTGATGAATGAATTAAAAAGTAAAAAGTACATATTCCTTGTTTTTACCTCCATTTATTACTGAAATGTTTGTTCCATTCGTGTGAAGGCATCTATTTAGATCCGAAATCAAATGAAACATTTCACATGTGTCGTATGCATTTACACAAAACTCTTAATAAATCTATACAAATAATCACCTATTTTGCCGATAAACACAGATTGGTATGCATACTGACATGGAAATGTAAGACCTTGATCAATATTAATCCAAATGTGTCGTATAAACTTTGGTAACAGGACGTTCACGAGCGCTCGCCAGTATGGGCGGGGCCAAATGACCGACTTTTGAAAGCTTCTTTCCGATTGGTCAGTCCGCTGCAGAATGACACGTCGCCAGTTCAGGTCACAAAGTATGTTACTACGTACTTTTGTACAAGGAAACACAATGTTTCTAAACATATTAGCGTAGTATATTCGCTAAGGTGTGTTAGAATGGGGATACTCCGTTATTTTTCGTGTCTATACTGGCGATTAGAACATGAATTTGGTTTAAACTCTCGACATATCGGTCTCAAGTTAAAACCCAAATTTCATGTTCTAATCGCCAGTATAGACACGAAAAACAACGTACTATCCCCTAAATTTAGCTTACATTACAATTATTCTTGATATATGATTATCAAACTACTTCGTATTTTCTTATTTGAGAAAAAAAGGAGCCAACACCAAATTCTCTACACTGGTAGAACGTGCCTTAAGTGTAGCTTGGAATTAATTTAACCAACTTAGGACATAGAGTAGTTACTAGTACGATTAGTTTAATAGTTAATACAATTTGTAGCTTCTGTGGTTGTGCTTAGAGTTACATAAGTAGAATAGGTATAAGTATGCGTGAGTGTGGTGTATGTTGTTGTGTTTTAGATGTAGCCCTTGTTAAGGCTTAACCTCATATTTTAGGTAGCACGTGCTTCCTATAACTACGGTAAAGCCAATAAAAGAGAGTGATGAGCCATGAGGAACCGTGAGGAGCCAATGTGGGTCAATAAGAGAGAGTGAAAAGCTCGTAAGGAGCCGACGTTGGCCAATCAGGGAAAGTGAGTAGCGCGTGAGAAGACGATGTGGGTTAACTAGGGAGAGTCGGGAGTCGTGAAGAGTCGTGATGTAATATCTTTTGGCCGTTTCCAGCCAACATCGATTACTGCTACACCCTCAACTAATACAACATGTATCATGTATTTTTGACGTCACAGTATTGTTACCTTGGTTGTTTTGACAACATCAATGTGCTGACTGCGGATCTGAGTAGAGTCAGTCATAGGCGTGCCTACAAAGCAGTAACAAATCAGTCTTGTGATGGTGGTTGTTTGCCGTATTTTGACTGATGGGTTGATTATGACGACGTTATCGAGTTTTAAGCATACGTTTTGCATGTTATTGAGCTGACGGCATTGGTTGATTTTCGACGACATCATCGAGTTTTTGGCTTACGTTATGCATGTTATTTAGCTGACGGCACGGTTAATTTTGATGACGTCATCGAGTTTTTTGGCTTATGTTAGTGTACGTTATCTAGCGGACGGA